CCCCGCCAAAAGTCTATCTTGGTGGTGGCTGAGTGGAAAATACCACAACACCCTACACATCCCCCCAAAAAACAAACTTGTGGTGCCTGAAATGCCACCACGCCCTACAAAGCCCCAAACAAAAACTAAGGACCCGGACTGGGAACCAAGCTGACTGAATCCCAGTGCCTCGTCCACTTCCGGACGCCGCGGAGGATTCACGGGCAAGGCCTGCGGGAACCAGATCCCCATGGCAAGCAGCGAAACGTCGAAGCGCGAAGTCCCACGGCAAGCTCCCGGATGAAGAAGAACCCTGTTTTTTTTTGAACCCTTTATATATATATATATATATCTATATTTTATGGGGGTGGTTTTTGGCCCCTCCAGAAGGGTGAAAAACCCCCCACAACCAGGGACACCCCCATATTCATAAACAGAGGTTTGTTGTTCCCTGGGGTCGACATTGAGCATGCTCTTTGATGCTCCTGTGAAACGACCCGTGCTTTCCTGTCTGCTTGCAAACTCAATGATTGACCTGGATTCAAGCCCTGATCAATGCAACACTTGACAGGGTCAGTATGTCCAGCGATTGGAAAACACACACCTGCTAATGGTTATGTAATATGTATATATATATATATGTATGTATGGCTTGGCCTTGAAAACAAGCTACAAAGAGTACCAACTCTGCGGGTACAAACTTGTCCGCATTCCGACCTAGAATCATGAGAGGGCCTTGCTCTGGTTGAGAAAGAGAGACCCTCTAGCAGTGGGTCCCTAAATTTCCCGCGAAGAAATGGCAGGCCACTGGGGAACGCCCAGCCCCCAAAAGTGAACTCTTTGCCGGCCAAAAGCGGAAGGCTGGAACCCGAAGAAGGCCTCCTGCGGCGAAATGGCCACTTCAGTTTGGTACCCTCTACCCTCTGCCAGTCAATCTACATCTGTAGTCAGAAGCTGAACTGACAAACGGTTAAGTCTGACAAGTGACAATATATGGCTGTGGCTCAAAAACACGTACCAAAATGGCACCTTGGTAAATGGAACCAAGACGAAAACCTGCGTAACCCTAGCTCTTGAATTTTGAGCCACAGCCATATATGAAACCCTGACCGCCTCCAGCTTCAAAGAATGGTGCAGCGTTCGCGGCGCCTCGGCCAAAGCTGGGGACGCGTTTTCTCGGAGCTGACTTCCCCCCAAATCGGCGTGTTTTTTTGCTGGGGGACCAAAACTTTTGGTTGGCCTTTGTGGGGAAACTGAACGGAAACCTTTGGCATGTTGGTCAGGCTCTCCAAATGTTCTTGAGACAAAACTTCGGGTTGGTGTGCTCTTGAAAGAATCCATTGATTTGCCTCAAGGTTCGTTTGACCTCTGTGGTGTTCCCAGTTTGGGCATGACCTCAAACGCCAAGGATGCACGGTCTGTAGCTGGTGGCGAACAAAACAAAAAAAAACCAATCATGGTCATAGAGATGAACATAGTCAGTTGCAAAGCGAGGGGTTGCACTTGGGCCCCTTGGGCAGGCAAGCACACTGAATTGACTCCAAGACTGGGGCCTAGACCCTCTGCATGATCAATTCTTCACTCTAAAGTTCACAATCTTAAGCAGAAAGCACCCCTCCTGCATGCCCCAAACCACGAGCAAGGTGCGTGCCTCTTTGCCAACTTGGACAATTCAAACAAGCAGGCCATGCTTGCCGTTTGTTCTTCTGCCTCTCCGCTCGATTGTTTGCTCCAAAGTTGAGCCACATGATCGAAGAATGGTGTATTGGTGCTCGAAGATGTACCGAGTGAAGAGCTGTGAATAATGGACAAGGCTTGGTGCGCCTTCAGTTGTTCAGCCCGCTGGTTCCAAAAGAAGGCAAACATAAGCAAACGGCCACACAGACACAGAATGCTGCTTGGAGCAATCCTATGTTCGTTGCTACTACCCCAGAAAATACTCTTGTGCAGGTTGTGCATGTGTGTGTGTGTTGATTCCCTCAGTGCAATGCGTTCGTTCATTCTTAAAACTCAAGCAGCAGCCGCACCTCAATATGGCTATTAATTTTAATAGATATTAGAATCATATCCTGGATACAGAGAAGAGAGGTATATCTTGGAAGCTTTTATGTAGCTGGATCTCATGGGTAACTACCTCAAAAGTGGCTGGTGAAAATGAATCCGCTACTTAAATGATATCCACCAAAGGGTCCCTATATCAAACCTCATGCCCATCCCAATGCCAACATCTTGAGCTCGCTGCACGCCAGGGCCCATCACTGGTGCGCCAGCTTCTTGCACCTTACGGCTCAGCAAACCACAAAATGATGCGTGACGCAAAAGACAGGGCTCGGGTGTTTTTATGCTTGGTGCGCTCAAATCAATCGTGGACATGTCCAACCAGAATGCTGTCATAGTGTAAGCTCTGGCTCACACAAATTATAAGTTTACCCAATCTTTGCATCACATTTGGTGCAACGGACCCCAACGCATTGCGGCAGTGTGCATGGGCAAACACAGAGAAATATGCCATGTTCATCGACCACCTGGATGGGTCCCAGCCATCATCTGCTATCAAAAAGGAGCAATCCTCTATCATACTCTTTTGATAGGAAAACAAGCACTGACCATTCTCTTTTGGTATTTCTAGAACATCTAAACCAGTGGAACCCATCTCTAGATGCCCTGGTAAATGATACAAAACCGGAGAGAAAAAAAAAGGCGCTGGCAAATGATACAACACCCATCTAAACCAGCAGTTTACCCATCGATTTTGAATGAAACCAACCTGAAACGCCCCCGAATTCAGCCGATGGGGCCAAGGCTCGAAGCAGGCGGCACCTCTGAGGGAGGGTTCGGCTCACTGTACCTGAATGGCCGACTTTTCCGGATTTTCGGAGGTCGTAGCCTCCCAAAAACAGACACCGGCGTGTGCGTGTTCTTTTTTTTTCAGTGGACCCTCTTGGTCTGTGTTTCTTTAGTGGACCCCCCCTTTTGGTTCGCCACCTTGGGGGGCACCCCAAAACAAGACACACCCACATAGAACCTGCACGGGTGCCTGGACCAGAATTCCTTTTCAGGGGACCCCATGTGCCGGTTTGTTTGTTGGGAGGGTAAATCCACCAGCTTGAGACAAACAAAACCTGAGGTTCTCCAGCTGGCCACGGGAGTTTCAGGGGTCGATCTTCAAGATGAAATCAGGGGCTTAGTTCAAGGTGGAACCACTGGAAGGGCCTAAACAGACGAGGAATCCATCTCACTGTTCCAGTCAAAGTCCTCCTTTGGAGAGCCAGCAATCAACCCCCAGCAAGCGATCGGCCAGCCACTTAATGAATTCCAAGCTGCCTTGGTCATTCAACACCTCATTGTCAAAAAACAAACACCCGAAATACCCTCTTTTGCATCTCTGAAACAAACAAATACCACCAGCCATGCATCTGGATCTGCTCTTCGCCTACTACGATGTATGCCCCTGCCATATTGCAGCTAGGCAACACGTTGGACACGTAAGTTCAACCATGGAATTTGTGGTTGGAAACTCGATCCCATGGTTTGTGGTTGGTTTACTATGTTTACTCGCAATATAGCTGTGGCTCAAAAATTAAACAGGAGGGGTTAGGTCCATGTTTCCACTTACCAGGGTAACCCATTTTGGTACCAGTTTTTTGAGCCACAGCCATATGGCTATTTGAGGCATCCTAGGTGGTTGGCTTTGCATCTCACCTCGGATCGCCATGCTTCCACATCCCGCGTCGCACGGCCACGGGGGCGGCTGTGGCTCCGGAGCAGGTCGATGCCTCAAACTGAAACCCGGGACATGTTGAGGCGAGTTTAGGTACCTGAACCCTCAAACTCCCATAACAGGAATCCTTACATTCTAGACCTGAACATTGCCTTGTAAATCGTGGTTTCCCTTTATTTTGGTAGAAAAAGCCATGTCTCAAATGGTTGCAAAATGGAGATCTTTTAAGGAGCCCTGCATAACGTTGGGGCAGTAGCCAAATTTTAAGGGAATTTCGAGGGAGGTATGGGTTTTGGAGGCATGGAGGCTATATACCACTTAAAAAACAGAAGGGAAAAACTGGCTAACAAGCTTATACGGTACATGAGCATCCATACCTCCACAACCCATACCTGAACATGCGCTTGACAATGTTCCACTAGGTGAAGGACCCATTGCTTGGAGCACTGATTTTACCAAGGGTTGCCGTGCTGAATGCACGAAATCCGGTACAAACTCAATGAGCCGCAAGAAGGGCTTTATGTAGGAGGTATGTAGATATGTATATGCACAGACATGATCAAAAGGGGACGGATGCTAGTTTGCCAAGGCTCCAATTCCCTGGAAAATACACCATGAGAGAGGTTCTGGAAAAGCATGCCGAGCAATCGCAGTTGCTGCAAGCTCGGGGGCATCTCCAAGAAGAACCAAAGACAAAAACAACAAAAGAAAAGAACCCCCCCAAAAAAAAAAACACGAAAAAAGCACTGACGGGACTGGGGGAAGGGCAAAGCCCTCGATCTTCCGTGGTTCCCCAAAGCGGCAGACATGCCTAACTGATGACAGCTAGCCCCTCGCTTCGCTCGCACCTCCCGCCCTTTGATGAGCGCTGGCACTGTGACATGCCAAAACACTCTGCAACAAAAAGGTCCCATGATCCAAACATAGCAAATGCCGCACAGAAGAATACTCTTCAAACCAGCTCACATAAGTTTGAAAAAATAAAAGAAGTAACAACAACAACAAAAAACAAAACAACGAGTTGAATTGTTGCTCAGGCATCGCATATCTCCAGAGCCCCTCACCAGCCTTAGGTTGGAGGAATGCACCACACCTCGGCTTGGCGCGAGCAAAGCCGAGAGCTCCCTCCTCTGGCCCCTCGACAGGGCTCCCGAGTGATTTCCCCTTAAAACACCCCCACCGAGGGACACTCACCTTTCATGGGCCAAAAAGGTGATGTTTAAAACCACCAAACCGGGGAAACATAGGGACCCCTGCTCAAAGAACTCAAACCTGTCGGAGGAAGTGCCACGAGAACTCTGGCGTTTCCTCTTCCGAAGTGTCCGTGTCCCCCCCAGGTGGTCGAAGCTTTGAAGTGGGGATGGACTATTTCTAGCTGTATGGTCTTCAGCTTGGGCTGCAGCCGAGACTCGCCAAGCTAGCGACTTCTTGAAATGCCCGGAAATGGGGGCTGTTGGCCAATGCTCTCGGAACCGGACCCTTCGCTTTCAGAGGGCAGTGAGAGTTCTTGGTAGATTGGCAGCGGCAAGCTCGAGCCCTCATCTCCTTCCATTGGCTTAAGCGCAGGGGAAAAAACATATATGTCCAGTACGTGGAGTCCCTTTAAAGCCAAGGGAAAATAAGACATCCTAAGCAAATGGAAGCCTCTCCCAGCTCGCCAGTCTCAATGCTTTTTGGGCCATCCTTGAATCCTCCCGGCCTGGAGTCCTGCAGGCTGCGAAAGCTCTCTGGCCCAACACTTGCTGCCCCAAATAAGGCCTCAGTAGGGGCTTAATAGGGCTTCTTTGGGCTCCCTTCCCCTCCCCTCCCTTCCCCTCCCCTCCCTTCCCCTCCCTTCCTCCCCCTCCCCTCCCCTCCCCTCCCTCCCCCCCAGCCCTGCAAGCCAAGCAGCTTTGGCGGCACTGCTGGAAGGGGTTGGCCAAATTTTCAGGCAGCACCTTAGACCGCCCTCTCCTTCAACTCAGAGTTCGACTCTCACAACTTTGAATGATCCTCCATGATCCTCTCAAACTGAACCGTACTCGACCTTACCTTGGTGCCTTGTGCTGTGGCATGCTGCGATGTCAGGATTTCCAGACGCCCAGCCAAGGCCTGCCAGTCGTCTCTGGGGCAGCCACGTGATCATATTCCAGCATCCAAGACACGGAAGAGATGTCCGCCTGACATCAGATTTTTGGCGCGAGCGAACGAAATGAGCGACTGGAAGCCGACCGGAGCGGTTTGGAACACAGAAGCCCGTTTAGAAAAACCTCCTGTTTCCTTGTTGTTCTTTCCTCAGCCCCAACCTGATCGGTGGCCTCCAGTTTGGTGGTTTTGATTGGTGGGTCAGTTGCTAGGGATGGTGTCCATTTGCCCTCCACCGCTGGACACCCTTCGATAGAACTCTTGGCGTCACCAAGAAACTCAAATGAAGACCTGCAACCTGGAAATTGAAAGTGACATGTCCTGTACATCTGCAAATCTGCAAAGCTCGGACCCAGAGAAAGCTCCAATGAACTCCCCAAGCATCTCCCTCGCCCCGCAGTATCTTCAGCCCCTTCAATTGGTGATTTGGATTGGTGGTGCAGGGATGGTTCCCATTTGCCCTCTACAAGAACCAGGGGTTCCAACCCAAACCAACCAAAGGTTCCCTGAATCTTGTGGTTTGCGGGCCCAAAACAAGCAGGTCGGGAGGTCCAACGAGAGAGTGCTTTTTTTGTCGCTAAAGCCCCCACAACGTCACCCGCTCTGCGCCCAGCCTTCGCCACATGCCCCACCTCCTCCGTACGCGCCTCAGTCAAGAATGTCTCGGGACATCCATCCCCAAATCCATATATCTATAATCTTTCCCGAAGGCAAATAAATTTTTAGGGTGGACCCTGCCGAACGATTCCATTCTTGAGGTGGTTGGATTTTGGACATGGAGCCTCGATCGGCTAGGTTCATCTAAGTTCTAATCAGAACTGGCTTTCGTGTACATCCAACGAGCCAATCCGTCCATTCCAGGTTGGGGAAGCGGAATCTTGTCGGCCGAAGGCAACGTCTGATTAAATTTGGGATTTTCGTGGATCAGTGCGGGGAACACAAAAAGCAACATGTCTCTGTAGACCGTGCAGAATTCAGGAGGCAGGCATCGATTGCCGCGGGGTCTCTGAAGCATCGTAGGCTTACAAAAAGCTCACTGAAGTCCTGTGCTGCCTCTTCTGCACGCACAAAATTGGGAAGGCTCATGGGCGTCGTCGTGGGCATAGGTGTCCTTTTAGGGGAACTAGATGGGTTTCCCTGGTAGATGATGCAACCACCAGGAAAAAGCCAGGAATCACCATTCTAGCTTTCTAGCCAACCAAAAATGACGCACCTCGGCTCGCAGGCTTCAGCCGACCTGTCAGGAGCCACGAGTGCGGCGGCAGTTTTGTCCATGACCCAATGCGGCCAGGTGCTGTTCCTGATCTGTACGTAAATCCCTCCCGCAATAGCTGAGGGTGCGATGCTCCCCCCGGCAGGGTTTCTTCCCTGCTGGGGGAACTGCCGCAGGAAATGTGTTGTCCACTTCTGTGCAGCATGCAATGGACACCTTGTGGCCCAGTGCAAGAAAACGGGAAAACATCCAGAAGCCCAGATCTGGAACTCGTTTAGCTTATGCTTTACACTTGGCAGTATCCGAGCTACAGGCATGGCCGTTGTTCTACGTCCATGGTACAATTGATTTGTTTGTCCGAAATTATGCACATGTGTGCTCATGTGCAAAGAAGTGATCCACCTGCGCCTATGAAACTGCTTCTGGAGATTCTGGCGAAAGCGGCGCAAAGCTGGCGCTCACTCCCTCACTCCCCAGCCGATGGGCCTGGCGAGGTGCGGTCTCAAGAAAATCAAAAGGCATGGCACGGCAAATCTCCGCATCCCAAGACGCTAAGCTCAGTTGCTCAAAGGACCCGAGATAAAAGGGAACCTTCTGGGGCCATGACCAAAAACGGGCACCAAAACGGGACAGAGGCCGAAAGGTCACTCAAGGCCTCGGGTCATTGCCGGGTTCAACATATCGGTGCAGCTCTCCCAACCCGTCAGCCGTCAGCCCCACAGCACCGTGTCGCAAAACTCGCGCAACCAACGGCTCGATCACCAGCAACGCTCACATCCACACCTCAAATGTGTGGCATTCCACGCCAACGCTCACATCCACGCCTCAAACCACGCCCCAACCATACAGTTCATCCACCTCCGTGCCTTATGGTGAACGGAAAACGACACAAAGCCAGGTCCAACAAGAACTGGTCAAGAAAGAGCCGCAAAATGCGCCCATGCACCGCGTCGCATTAGGTCAAATCTCATTTTGAGAAGGTACAGCATGCGTCCGTTTCTTCAGCAAGCTGTCCATTGTGCCCTTGGACTCCCTGAAAGTTGAAAAGCCTATTGCCCACAACCCCGCACCAGTCGAGGAACCCTGTTTCCCTTGAGAGTCAACTACTAAAAATGGTTGCCCTTCTCACTTTCCCTTGCCGACCTGGAAATCTAAGGTTGACCTTTTGGCCCCTCTACAAAAAAAGGACCAACATGTGGAACCCAAAAGGATAAAAGGTCGATTCGCTCGCGTCTGGCTTATATAACCCCCCACCCGGTCGCTGGAACCCCTTTCAACTACTACTCAGACGCCCAGTGGCCATGGGAGAAAAGGGCATCTTGTTGGTTGTCCCGAAAAAAGGGCGCCGCTTGGCAACTGGGACTAAAACTCTAGGGGTTGATTCCCCATTCCTTTCAACCATCGTTCTTTCCAAAGAACCGCCGTTTTCCCTGGATTTCTGGAGGTTTTCTAGAAAGATCCGATTCCTGGAAAGAATGGAAAGAATGGAAATGGAAGCTACCCCTCGAAAAACCGGACCTTCCCCCTGCTCTCTTTGGTTTTCCGCCTGCCACCTCGTAGCTCCCGCTGCCCCGGCGAGCGCGTGCCAGCACCGCAGCCAGAGCCAGCGCGGCGAGTAGCACCAGCGCCACGAAGCTACTTGGCCTCGACCCGAAAGCGAAGGCGTCTCCGTCTGCCGGTGGTTGGGCCTCTCCCCAAGAAACGTGTTTTCTTTTTTTTTGGGGGGGTTTGCAAGCGAAAAACGTGTTGGCCCTGCCATCAAAAACAAACTTCCCCTTCACTTACTCGGAAACCTGATAGCTCAAAGGTGTTGAGGGCTAGGTGGTTTGCTTCGAAACAGAAAAAGGTTTCACACCCTGACAAATAAGTCATACCAATCTAAACCAGCAAAAACCAGCAAAAGCATCTACGTCTCTCCCCAAAGGTAAAAGGACACCCATGGTATCCGTCGTCACTCTCCATCTTGCCCTGTGGTTTTGACAGCTAGGGGCAAGGATTGCGGGTCCTTCCCACATCTTGTGCATGTTCGACAAGGAGCTTGGAACACATGCATTGGCAACAGGCGAACAAAACAGATATACGTCTGAACATCTCGTAGCAACTCCGAGATGGTTTGGCTGCAAACGTTCATCAGCCCTTCATCCAACTGGGCTGCCCTCAGATCCCCCGCTAAAAGTGACTAACTTTTAGTGGGTTAACTGGAAACTAGCACTACGCACTAAAAGGATCTAAAAAGCCAAGTTGAACCGGATGGCCTTCGGGAGCCACCAAGCCAAATGTTGCTTCTTTCATTAAGACCTTCAGCCCCACCGCGCCCATCCGCAAGCCCTTCGGGCGCCTGATCGACGCCCATTCGCCCTGATCGACCTGCGGCTTTCGCAGCGACGGATGGGTGTCCTGCCGAGCGGGCGCATTCGGCTGGGTGTGGAATGCGGAAATGGACGGAGGGATGGATAATTTTCAAAGATGCTTAGCCTGAAAAGAAGGGAATGGTGCAAAGAATTGGCTATTTTTTTTGGAGGGTAAATCAGCTATTGCTGCAAACAGGAACAAAACAACATGGCAACTAAGCCAACATTAATCGAGCAACACTGCCTGTGGTACAAACAAGCAACAGTCTAAATGACACCCTAGCGGGTGGCGTAGGAAAGCCTCTGATAGGGAATAACCAATGACCAAGGCTGGGGAATAGACAAAAGAACTTTCTCTTGGCTTGGTGCTTCCCTGTACTTAGAATTGGCTTAGCACAATACTACTTCTTCGTATTGAATTAGTATTCGGTTAGTATTGGGATTTGATCTAGTGCTGGCGTTGTAGTGTTTCATCTTGGTCTTGAACTGGTTTGGTACTGACTTAGTACTGCTTTAGTATTGGCTCAGTTTTGCTGCAGTTTTGCTTCTTACGGCAGTATAAGTCCCTTGCTGCTCGGCAGATGGCTGAAGGGACACCTTTCCCAGTGATTCCAAATAAACCTGACAGTAGGAAACCAAAGACCGCACTTTAATCGCAAAGCCAGATTGGTGGTTACTTAGAGTGGTAACAGGGATCCACTGGGTTTCTTTGCTGCCTGACTTCAAAGAGTTTTCCCACAGAACAATCGCGACCGAGAAGGCCAACTTTGCTCCGCAGATCAAGACTGAACCCCAGGAAGTTCCTTTCAAGGATTCCCTTGTTCCATGGAACTCCAAAAACCCATCTCATCTTTTCAGAGAGAGTTTTCCTCTTTCCGGATTCCATGCCTGGGAAAGCCTTGCCTCCAGGTTCACCACGTGCTTGATCTTGTGCGTGATCTTGCCGCCCAGGTGGGTGGTGCCATCTGCCACCTGCATTGCCTGAACTCCACGGCAATCCGGCAACCAGGATCACGGCACTTGGGCCACAATCAAAACCCGGTATTAAAATGGTGAACCCAGAACCATGTAAATATCCGCAGCTATTTTTGGCTTGGATTGGCCCTTACTATCCTTCATCTACCCCGGTTTTGATTGTGGCTCACTTGGGGATTCTGCCACTTTTTTCGCCACACTTGGCCAATCAAAGAATTTCCTTCTTGTGCTGCCTCTGCTGAGGCGGGATGGGCTCAGAAAGTGACTCACAACTGGCAAAGCAGCCCCCAAGGCCCAGCATCGCTTTGGCGTTCCAACCATGGGTGGCCTTTTGGAAGATTACCCTCTTTCCAACAATCATGGAAGTGCACAAAGGGCTTCCCCAAAAGGAAAATAGTCTTCCAAAGCTCTGCTGTCAACTTCCATGATTGGAGGGAGGGTTTATGGCCCTGGTACATAAAACAAACAAACCATCCAATCCAGTGGAGCCCATCGATGTTCAACCAAACTAACCGAAAAAAGGACACCCATGGTTCCCACCCGAGGCCTTGTCCTTGGCGTAGCCCATCTCCTGCCCAAAGAAGCCCCACACCCCGCTCCATGTGTATCTCGCACCCCCCGACATCGATCCGAAATGAGAAGCATCCACCCACAAATCACCCCGAAATGGTTCAGCCACGCAGCCCCATTTCCCACTTGAGTGGACATGAATCGAACCCCCCCCCTAAAAAAAAATGAACATGCCATCTCGGAACAGTTCTTCCCTTGCATGCAGCTGATTTTGACTCATGGTGCTACATCCTGCTAGCAAAGACCCCAAAGTGGCTGAACTCAAACAAATGCTGCTTTCCGAAAGTGCAAATTATTCATCTCATTATGCATTCAAAAGAAGTGGTGGTTTCCACCCATAAGGAGTGTAGCCGCCCCTGCCTGCACCCCTTTTGTACACTGTGCTTCCAAAGCAGTACTGCTCAATCTGAACAAGTACTACACAATTCCAAAAGAGTGTTGCTCAATGCTGACGTAGTGCTGCCTACTCTAAAAAAGTAGCGTCCAATTCTCACAGTGCTTTCCAAGTCTAAAGAAGTCCAGCGGTCTTGCTTAACTCCTAAATCTGCCCAACCCGACCAGACACCAAAAACACCGGAAGATAAAAACAGACACCCAAACCACCCGGCAGACCCCAAAACACCCAAACCAGCCCGAAAAAGCACTCCTGACCAAAGAAGCAGGCGCATACAGGCGCTGGACACACCCCCCTAGTCGCAGTGGCAAAGCTCATCTTCAGCTCCTCCCGACTTTTCTCGCGCGAGGGTCTCTGTGTTTCATCTGAAACTGTACTGACCTTGGGCGCGGGGAGGTGTCTAATCCGGACTCGGCGCGACAACTCGTTGGTCTACACCTCTGTGACGTGACTTGACTCACCAGCTTCTTGTGCGTCCCACGAGGGGCGGTTCATGTCTTGTGCCGGTGTGTGAGGTCCGAAACAAAGGCACAACTGTGTAAAAGGGGAATTGTCCCTCGCAAACATTTGACCGCGGCCTTCTAAACCCGCAAAGAACCTCACTGAAGTTCTGTCCTGACCAACGCCGTCCACCACATTCTTTCCCACGCCGACGATGTGCCCCGTGTCCGACTGCACCTCCACAAATGCTCAGATTTGCAAGTTGTGTATTGCTCAAAGTAGTCATTGATCGCAAAAGATATCACATGCCTGCGGATGATTGAACTGCTCCCCCGCATGAGCCAACACTCAAAGTAGGTAAAGCGCTTTGAGCCAGCCAAAGGCACCTCAATTTGTTCAAATCCCACAAGAAACAACTGCATCACATTTGCAGGGACTTAGTCGTTTGACCATCAGCCCGGGCTTCACGCCTCATCTGCGATTGCGTGGATGCCGTGGTTGATGTCGCCCCATCCGAACCTGAGCCACACAGCCATGGCAAACTCGATCATCCTGAAAGAAACGGGCTTCAAGCAAACAGCATGATAATGTCACTTCTCGGGTGGATGCCCCAAAAAAGTCCAAACTTTTTGGTTACGACAAACGTCCAGAAATTCGGGAAGTGAGTAATGATACACATGCACCTCGACTACACTTCCTGCTCTCTGACTGCAAGACTCTGAAACTGAAGCGCATCTGCAAGCTGGTGGCTGGTTTCCAGCTTCCATGCGAGGCAAAGGAAAAGCCCAGCGGGCTTTTTGTGTTCATGTTGCTTCGCGGTTCACCATTTCACCTTGCAATGCTTTCTGAAAGTGCTGTTGGTCTTCTCGCTCCTGTCAATATTGGGGTACTACTGCTGCTCAATACCCAACAGCCAACCACTCGCTTGATGACCAAAGAACTTAGTCAAGAAGAAACTGGGATAAGCACGGCCTGGTCTGTTTACCTTTATCCTACAACGTTGTTCTGAAAATCATGCGAGTCTTGGCTGCAATCAAAGTGGCAGAAGGCATTCAATATGATGAACCCCTGTTTGGAGCGGATCGTCTTGGACCATCTCCCCTACACTACAAACTAAACGTACTATCAAACCCAAACGCGGCGCTAACACAGATTCCTCTACGGGCGTTGTGTGCGCGTGAGGCTCCTTCCCCTCCCCCAGTGGACGTTCCCTTAACTTCCGAATGATGGTGCCCCTCGGTTGCCTACTATAATGCTACTGTAGATGGACGAAATCCTGCACCAATTTGAAACCATGAATAAAACAAATCATGGTTTGTTGGCAGCTACAAGGGAATCATTCATCAGAAACCAGGGTTCCCTGGTCTCTGAACGGTGCGAACTGGTTTCGCGCCCCATCCAGAGCAACTGGCTGGGTGGGGCAAAATATGGTTTAAACACCACCTTTACAAGGGAAGAATCATCATAACCAGTGGTTTAAGCATGTTTCAACCAATGGGTGGCACCACCCTAGCAACTGGGCAACTGGCTGCATCGTTTGTTCCGTCCCCGTCCCCGCCGAATGGCTTCTGCTGGAGCTCATCCCCATGAAGCTCCGCCAAGGCCACGAGAGGCAGCAGGAAGACGAGCTTGGACATGACCTTGTGGGCGCAAAGCTTGCTGTACTTAAGCTGCAGAATTTTCTTCGCTGCTTTCTGCTCCCCTGCTAAAAGCGAATCACATTTAGTGGCTTAATACGGGAAACCCACTAGTTGGCAAAAAGTTAAAGTCCTAACATCCAAGCAAAATTTGCAACAAGGTCTTGTTGATGGCAAAGAAAGCACAAGTGAGCAGGGGTCAAAATTAAGCCACCAGGCATGTTTCCATTTACCAGGGTTACATTTTGGGTACCCATTTCCTTCCTCACTTGTTCCTCTTTGCCTTGCACTGCAGCTAATCAAAAGCCAGAAAGCAAACCACAAAACTATTCCTCGTGGCCTCTGTAATTGCTTTATCGACTCACCGGCCATCCACAAAGACACTCGGGTCACCAGCGAAACTCATGCCGCCACGTCACTGGATCCGAGGTGCTGTTCGGGCGTCCGGCAACCGCTCGCTTTGCGCTTGAACCAGGTATGGGCGGTGAGGTGAGTGGTCTGCATGCCAACCATCATGACCCCTGTTCTCATTGGGAGGCTGGCGGGAAATCCTGCAACCTGCGTGGCTCGTTTGTATGGGCGTTGCGTGCGCAAGGAGTTTGGGGGGGGAGGGCAAAGATCCAAGCAGGGTGGGGAACCCCCTGGCTGTGACATGGACACACAGGAAGCTGTCCTGGCTTGTGACCAAAGGTAGCCAAGTGAAATCTGCAGTTCCCAGGCACCAAGTGGTGACAAGTCTCGGGCGACAGTCTGGTTGAGTGATCGGCCCAAGACGAGAGACGAGTCTCCAACCACGTGATTGCCCCTGCAATATACCGCCATCCCCCAAATACAAAATGGATACGTAAGGGTTTGCCTACCCTCCATTTGCTTAAGTCCAAAAAAACAAATATTTCCAGTAGTGAAATCGATTCCCTTTAAAACCAACAGGGGAAAATCAACATATTCATTTCACCAAATGGAAGCTCCCCAGGCCGTGGCTTCGATGCTGGCCTCCGATCCCTGGGTGCCCGAGCGCGGCTGCGGCCTCGTTTGGAATGCGCCGCCTGAGCGATCGGCCGATCGCGAGGCCAAAGTGCGGCAAAGCCTTGGGTGTCACCAGCCGCCCCATCACACCATGTTTGGTTTGCGTCGCCCATGTATATATATATATATATATATCTATCTATCATGTATTTATTTATATATATATAACAGGAGTTGTTTTGTTTTGTTTTTGGGGGGGGGGGTACCATATATATATATATATGGTCCCGTGTTCCGTGTTGCTACCCCCCCCCCCCCATATGGTATGGGTCCTCCAGGAACCCCCCCCCCCGGCCCGAGACCCCGAGCGCCCGGATCCTGGCACCTACGGTCCCACCCCAACCTGGACTCGCACCCCGACACCCCGGCACCCCCACCCCCAGGACAAGCCAACCCGCAACCATAAACCAACCCTAAACTAACCAAATACACCCTAAACCAATCCCTAATAATAAACCCTAAACCTAAACCAACCCTAAACCAACCCTAAACTAACCCTAAACCAACCCTAAACTAACCAAATGCACCCTAAACCAATCCCTAATAATAAACCCTAAACCTAAACCAACCCTAAACCTAAACCAACCCTAAACCAACCCTAAACCAACCCTAAACCAACCCTAAACTAACCCTAAACCAACCCTAAATACACCCTAAACCAAACCCTAAACCGTACACCTCTAAACCTAACACCGGCATGTCATGTTTGCCTTGCTGCTTTTTTAAACGCCCTAACAGTAGTTCCACGCCGAGTGGGTTTTCCAGAACCCACCACAAATTAACGCAGAATCCCAAGGAACCACCAAAAGGAGAAGGCCGCATCTCCCTTCTGCTCGAAATCCCGCTGCTCCCGCTGGCTCTCGAAATCCCCCGCCTCCGAGCCCGTGGAGGTGCTGCGATGGTCCGAGCGGTGCATCCGCTGGCGCCTGGCGACGCTTTTTGTCCCGCCGCGGCAGGGTTGCCTTGAGCCACAATCAAAACCCGGTATCAACATGGTTGACCCAGAACCATGCTTCAAGAATTAAGAAGGCGGCCGCAGCTGTGCATGGTTGGGATTGTCCCTTACTAACCTTCATCTACCCAGGTCTTGATTGTGGCTCAGGTCAGGAGGCAACGAGTGACTTGGCTGCCCTCAGATCACCTGCTAAAGTTTAACTTTTAGTGGGTTCAATGGATCTCCCCACTGAACCCTAAAAAGCGAAAAAGGCTAAGGGGATGGCTGGGAGCCACCGAGGTGACCCCTCGTTGTTTTTGTCGTTTTCGGCTCAGTTGCAGGAGGGCTCGGTTGCAACGGGACCGCTGTTGAGAACAAGATCATCTACTTGGACCTGGCAAGGATTGTTCAGGGGCCATGAGCCAAAGCCAGACTTGTTTGTTGCTATATGTGGTACCATATATATATATATAGTTCGGCACATGTTAGGAGTGTGACACTGCCAGTTGGAGGGTGCCTGGTAGTTGGCGATGGAAAAGAGAAAACTCATCTGCTTGATGAAAGTACTGGGCTGCAGAGAGTATGTGAATCTCCTGGTTAGCAGTGCTGAGGTTTCGCGACAGCTTGTCGGCTTCCCCTTGATCACTTTTTGGCGGCCTCCCTTGTCCACTCCCCAGAAAGTCGCCACCTAGTCCATGACAATCATTCCTCTAGAAACTCCATGCTCTCCGCGTGTACTGAGCGTATCTCAATTACCCAAAACCTCTGCGGGGGAAAAGGCAACGGAGATTCAGCTTCCCTCTAGTTGGGGGTTTGGATCGGCGGTTTGGAGTTCAGGTCGTGCTTCATGTTTTCTCCACAAGCACCAGGTGCTCAAATCCAACCACCGTGACTGAAGGGAAGAAAAACCGTCCCCCAAAAGAAGAGAAAAACCGTTGGAGTTGTGGTTGCATGCCCCTCTCGCCTGGATTCCGAGGCTTGGCCCTGGCGCTCAGAAGCTCGAGTCCAACGAGACGCCATGCCCCCCCCCCCCCGGCCGGGGGGGGGCGGGGGGGGCGGGGGGGGTCCGCTGAAAAGACAACATCCGCCGCGCCTTTTCAGGGCGAAAAAAGGTCGCTTCGCTTTGGACAGGTGAGCTTGCCCTCCCAAAACCTAGTTCTATTTCACAGGCATGGGATCCACATCCCCTGGCGCCGTATTCTCCGAACATGAGAGAAACCGCCGGACATCAAAAAGCCGGATTTGGCGATTCGGCGGTGGGGCGGTTTCCCGTTGACCCTCTGAAGAACAAATCAGAGGTTCAACTGCGGTTTTGGGGCCACTCGAGTTCCCCTGAAGTTGATCAAGTCGCAGTTTCCACTGAAAGCATCGCCACACACAACCCACACACACACACAACCCACACACACACACACGTACATATAATAGATTATATAGTCACTGCTGTCAATGAACATGTCATTGCCATCCACAAAGCTGCAAATTGAATGTGTAAACAATGAACCGTTTTTCAAACTGGATCGCGTTGTCAACCATACTCCTAGCACGCATGGTCCGTGATGAGGCTTGTTGGTCAGTACTGTAGCACCGCAATTGCCACTTGAAGCTTGCTGTAAGTGGAAAACAAAGGGACCCAAAAAAGCAAAAACAAAAAAAAAGGGGAGCTAATTCTGGGGAAGTGATGCTGTGATCGGCAAAACCGCCAAAGAGCCAAGGTGAGAAACAGAAAGCACTCGATCGGCCGCTCCTCCAAACTGGAATCCTGGTCTCGGCGTTTCTCCTGTCGTTGGAGCACAGTGAAGTTTACCCCCCAAACGACTCCAGGAAGCCCCCGCCCCGATACGGAAGACTTGGCTCCATTTGCAGAGGCGAATTGTAGGAGCTTGGTCATAGGTGTCCTTTTAGGGGAAATAGATGGCCCTAGATGATTAAACCACCAGGCATCGTTTTTTCTAGCAAAACCACCATAAAGGACACCTATGAGCTTCGTCTCCAGGAGTGCAGAAATCACATCACAAGCCGCTCCTTACTCTAGGGGTTGATTCCTCTTCCATTCTTTTCAATCATCCTTCTTTTCGAACACCAGCAAATCGTTTTCCGGTTCCGGGTTTCGGGAGGTGTTCTGGAAAGATCCGGATCCCTGGAAAGAATGGGGGAGGTACCCCTAGAATTACAGGAGAGTCAGATTGTCTCTTGCGTGTGCGCGTCGCTTCTTCAATGCCCACCAGTGACACCATGAAGCTGCATTGTCAAAAATGCAAGAAGGAGGCACACCCTGATATCATTCGCAAATCCTGCCATTCCAATTCGTGTCAAAGTAACTTCATGGCACTTTGATTCAGCAAGCATTCACTAGTCATATCATTCGGGTGTGGCTCAAAATGCAGCAGCTGGGACCAAGGTGCCATTTCGGGGATTCCTATTATTATTGCTGCCACCCATGGAAAACTGTTGCTTGTTGGTATTGACTTGGGAATTGAATCATTCCGTTAGGTTTCTGAACGGTGCCTTCCACGGTATCATTCCATTTCCGCCGATTTCAATTCTCCGGGATTCCAAGTCTTTTGAGCCATAGCCATTCCACTTTGAAACCAAGGTTGAAACCCATGTTGGTATTTAAGCATCCATCCACAGTCTGCGCCCATTTCTTTTCAGCGCACACTTCACCAAATCTCACCATTTCCACCCTTGCGTGGCAATTAAACCGGCGGGAAACCAAAAAAACAAAACAGCCACGGGTTCCTTCCATGTCCGTCGACTTCAGCGAGCCCATGGCCCCCTGCTGTCGCCCGTCCTTCCGCATGGAGCCTCTCGGACTGAGCTCCTGGCCGTTCGGCGATCGCGCTCGCGGAAACGGAAACGGAAACGGCGCGGGACTTCTTGGAGCGCGGCTGTTGGCTGATTGGAAGGGACGCCGAAAAAGGGAAAACGCGTTTCCGGAAATGGATGGCTCGTGTTCCTTTCTTTTTTGCGAGAGTGCCTGTTGTTGGCTTTGCGCCTTTTTTCGAAGGGGAGCCAGAAGGAAAACCACCAGGTTGGTGGGGTCTTTTTGAAAAGAGACACACCAATATTTGGAGCACCGCGCCCGATCTAACGATTCGCGTTGTCTGATCTTGCTGGCTTGTCTCTTCAGTGGCAACAAAGAACACTGCCGCTTCCCAAAACACAACCAATTCCGGGCAGTACTTCCCAAACCGGAAAAAGGCAATCCCTCCCAAAGACCGTCATGCGAGCTGATTTTACCCCCGGAGCTCGTTACATTTGCCCAGACCCGCCTTGGTGTCCCGGGGGCTGGTGCGCGTGCGCTCACGAGCCTTAGCTGGCAAACATGGATACCCTCCAGTTTGGAAAAATAATAATTAAAACATATTTCCAGTAGTGATAGATTCCCTTTGAAACCAACAAAAAACAACACAAAACAATCTTAAGCAAATGGAAGATACAGAAATGGGTGTGGGGCAAATTTAGGTACCCTTCCTCCCGCGTTGCCATGGCAGAGGGTACCTGGAAGATCAGCTTGGAGGGACCTGTCAGGTGCCATGGCGCAACGTGGGCGAGAGGGTATCCCCGGTCGTCGGGTTCCATGTTCTACTTGGTGGGAGGGTACCCAAAATGGCTTGCCCTGACAAATGGAAACAAGGACATAACCTGCGGTCCGATTCCTGGCGGTTCAATTTTGACCCATACCCAAATGGGGATGAACCCATTCAAGCACTCAGGTGTTGGGTGAAACTTGGGCCCCCGGCACTTTTGGTGTCACCCTGAATGACTTTTAAGCAATGGATTTTAGGATGACACACTTTGGTGCAAGTGTTCGGAACATTCCCCAACCATTGAAGGCCCCTCATCCTTCAAGCTGCACCCTAGGTCCCACGCCCTGTGCTCTTCCACCTGCGCCAATGACCCTTTGACCCTCGCTGACTTGGTGCGCACACGATGAAACAATTGAGAACCTGCTGAGCATAACGGGCGTCGGCCAGATATGGTGCTTCCCTTTGACCTCCAAAAACAAACAAACAAACAAACAAACAAACAAACAAACAAACAGAATTGAAATGCAGGTTGTTGGGCCTTTAAGAATTTCCTAAGTCATGACAAAGCACACTGGGAGTCTTGACTTGCAACATCCTGTCGCTCCATGCGCCTTGATCAAGCACTTCGGCCGTTTGACTCTGGTCACTGGCTACTACACTCCTGCAAAAAAAATAACATGGAACCCGAAAGCCTGCTCCTTTTGGATGCTCCCAACAATCACACCATAGTAAGAGACCTGCAGAAGAAAGGGGCGTGGGCTACGACTATCTGGTGGCCTAATTGCTGTCCTTCGGCAGGTTCAGGATTCTCCATTTGGGGCACCCGCTTTTTCCGGTGGATTCCAGGCTCGCTCTCTGTCGCCCGCACCGGAGGCGGAGGAGGCGGAGGAGGAGGCGGGGTTTGGCCTCCAGGAAGCCGTTGGGGTCGGTTTGGCTCGAAGTTGTTGGGGAAGGGCTCGGGCTTGGTAGTTTCTAGGGCGTGATTCCTGTTCCCTTCTTTTCAACCATCGTTCCATCCAAAACCCGGTGTTTCCCTTGGGGTTTGATGGCTTCCTGAAAAGAAAGGATCCCTGGAAAGAATGGAAATGGAAGCTTTCCCTAGTTTTGTTGCTCACAGGTTCCTTGGCGTTTCATGCGTCTGAACAGGATCGTTGGGCAACTTTGCAGGTGTTCAACCACCGTCGCCAGGGCAAACGTGCGAGCACACATGCTCCTATGTCACACAAGGCTGCATGTCAGAACTAACATAGGGACGCTTGTGTCTCTTTAACTAGGTCCTCCAGATTTGAGAGGTTTGAATAAGGGTACACTTTCTTTCTGTAGTCTATTTTAGTAGGGGACTCCTCGCCCGACAAAGGGTAAAAGGGCACTACTGAATCGCCCAGGGCTCGGTGTTTTTTGTCCGACAGATCCGAGCGCGTCCTCTGGGCAAAGGGCTGTCAAAGCTCAAGTCGTCCGCCGCCACGGAGGGGTCCCTGCCGGGTCGCCGGGATTCAAATGGCTGTGGGTCAAAACCAATCGTACCATTTTGGGGTAGGTGCACCACCCATTTTAGTCGATTTTAGTGGGGATTGGGATGTTCACTGGGGGTACGGGATTTTGACCCATGGCCAAATCGCAGTCTGACGCGATTTGACGAAAGGAAACCAACCACTGGGCTGCCCGTCGTCAGATCCGCAGAAAGTGATTCACGCCTTTTTTGGCTGAAGTGGAAACCGCCACTAAACCGTAACGACCATTCCTGACCGTCAGGAACCGGATGTCTGGGGTTTCCACCAAGACCTGGAGCCCAAATGGGCTTTTTCAAGAATCGGAGCGCCTGGCAGGAGCTCAGCCCGAGGGCCTTCGGCCCCGCCTGAGGCACTGCTGGAGCAAGGCGATGGTCTGCTGCAGCACCTAGCGGACGGCCATTGGAATCTTGACGAAGGAAGGGGAGCAACAAAAATGTCTCAATAGCAGTTAAGTGGGAATTTCGATTTCAACCACTAAACCACAACAAGCAAAAACAATAATAATCAAATGTTTCCCAACAACAACCATGGAATGAGCAAGCCAGCAATGAAACTGGCTGCCTTGGTAGAATTTCGGAGTCTCTGTGAGAGATTGGCAAAAGGTCGCGTCCAGAACAAGAAGCCAATGGATTTTCATGCGAGTGACAGTCACTATGTGTTTTCTTTTTCGACTTGCCACATTTCAGAAAGGCCAGTGGGTTTCCATGCGAGTCAGGAAGAAGAGCGTAAGTCGCGATCCTAGGAGCAACATTGTTTCTAATACTTCCCTCAGTCTACCATGGAAGCTCCTACAGGGATCCTTACATTATACACCTGAACAATGCCTTGTAAATGGTGGTTTCCCTATATTTTGGTGGAAAAAGCCATGTTTCAAATGGGCAAATTGTATCTTTTAAGGAGCCCTGTCCCACAATTCGCCTCCAAACCAAGTCTTCCGTTTCGGGGCTTCCATGGAATCAGGGTCGTTCGAGACGCGCCCTTTTCAGTTGGGATGGATTTTATAGGGTCCTGCCAACCAAACAAAAAGAATAACACGTCAGTCATGGTCCTAGGAGCACATTGCTACTTCTGCTTCGCCCCCCCCAAACTTGTTCTTCGCCTCGATCTTCGAAATCGGTCGGCTCTACGGGTCTTCGGGTCTTCGACCGGGTCTTCGGTGTCGCCTGCTCCTCCCGCTGCTGCAGGTCCTTGGCGCGCTCCAGCTTCGCCTGCACCTGCTGCCGGCTCTTCTTGGGCGCTGCCTCGGTCCAAAGCGAGTCCTTTCCGGGGGCTTTCTGGGTGGCTCGTCGTTGGGCTTGAGGTTTAAAGGGAAACCAACAGGAAAGTGTTGAAAGGTGGGATCTACCTAAAACTCAGCACAGGCGGCAGCTTGTTTTACTTGAGCCAGTATCACGTCGGTATGCCATTACCTATCAACACCCCCCGCTTTGCAGAGGTGCGTTGGTGAGAACAGTACTTTGTACATGTTTTCCCCCCCCAGGCCTGAAGCAAAGTCCTCTGAGGTCGAAACAATGAAGACGTAGAGCCTCAGTGGGATAGGTGGCAAGTCATGGTAACATGAGGCCTCTTGCATCAACGGCCGCTGCAACTGCGACGCACTTGGACTTTTGCAGGAGCATGCCACTTGAGTCGGCCGACCACGACTTCCGTCGGGCAAAACACATGTGACTTTCATGTGAATGCTTGAAACTGAATTCATACTGTTGCCATCAGCGGAGGTGATCTCACGACCACAGCTTCCGCTGGGCAAAACTGAAATAACAGCCGGAGGTGGCGGCCGTGGATTGACCTACGGCCGCAGCTTCCGCCGGGCGTGCAAACTTGGCACAGCTAATGTTGCGGCATCAATGGATGAAAGATAATAGTTTTGAACATGACATCACCAATGAAATTTAAATGGTTACCGCAACAAAAGCAAACTTTCATGATTGGCGCGGGTGCTCACCATCCCCACGGGCCCTGACGCCATTGATGCCATCCAGAGGACCACCCATACCAAGAGCTCCAGTCCTGGCGCCCCGTATTCTTGCCTTTGCCCTTGCTCTTTCCCTTGGCATAGGGCTCGGGGCGGATGGACCGGGTGATCGCCCTCCACTGGGTGTTTCTCGCCTCAACAGGATAGGTTCGCGTCCGGCCGGAGGAAAACTGCGGGATTTCGAGTTCACCGGTACTGATGGTGCCCTGAGAGTCGTACTTGATCCAGGAGGCCCGAATGAAACTGACCATGACCTCCAAAATCTTTTCGACGCTCCCTTCCGGGACGTATGATCCGCTGTGCCCAATGATAATTGGCACCTGCTTGCCCGGAATGAAACGATAGGCACACATGACCGCAAACTGCATGATGCTGTAAAATCTCGCATGGTGCGCAATGAAAGCCTCCGTGGAAACGTTCAACTCGTGGGGATCGCGCTTGTTGAGGCTGGGAATGAACACCAACTTCGTGCCAGTGTTCTGAGACCCTCCTCGATCGCGTTCCTCCCTTGTGCGGCCAGGGTCAGCAACAACCGCTCGGGCAATCCGGCCTAGGAAGTCAAGGCTCTCGGGGGTTAGCCCTTGCGTGGCGCAGTTGTAGGCGTAGAATGGGTCGACCGAGAGCCGGTCGGACACCTTTTCACACCCCATCCCCAGCGCCTTTGTCAGATGCGTCTTTGCCGTCTTCCTGAGTGACGCTTCGACGGAGATTCCTCCCCGCTTGTCGCCTTCCTTGAAGTGATGCTTGGAACGGATCCACTTCCCTCCGCCACCTTGCAGATCCTCCAGGTAGAAAACCATACCCTGGAGGGATGCGGTGTGCTCGAGGCGCACAACCTCGGTGGCAATTCGGGCGTCCGTCCATTCCACCATGTCTGACCGGCACTCCTGACACAACAGGTAGCCGTCAATCTGTTGGTTGTTGCACCTCTTGTTCCAGCATTTCACGACCGGAATCTTCATCATAGTCGTGAAGAAGAGGTCCTCCCAACGTGGCTCACTCTGGTAGCGGTTCCGGAGGTTGTTCCAGCCGCGACCATACCCTTTCTCCCCCCTGGAGAGCTCGGGCACCCGTCGAAGGGTTGCAGGCGCAACCTGATATGTCGGGCCTGCAGGTCTCTCATTCGACTTCCCCTTCCGGGGAGCGAGCTCATCGATCGTGGCAATCTCGGTCACGGCACCCGGAAGCAATTTGCCGTTCTTCGTCCCCTCAACGACGGTCCGCCAATGCCTCCAGGCTTTCTCTGCGGTCAGGGTGTTTTCACTTCTGAAGAAGTTCGGATTGACGTCCTGGGGCCCAGGCGCAAGCTCGGTTGTCAGCGCCTCGCGATACCTTTTGCGAAGCTCAGGGTACGCACGATTGAAGTAGAGGAACTCATTCTTGCGGGTATGGAAAGCGTAAATGATATAGGCATTTCCAACCCAATCGGCAGACATAAACGCCTCATCGCTCGTGAAGAGTCGAATGCCGTCTTGCATCATGAGCTCAGTATCAAAAGCAATCGTGACGGGCCTTCCGGCTCGCGTTCCTGCCAGCTTCCTCATCTGCGCCTCCCAGGGTGGCGTGGGGTTGAAGTAGACGTGGGCTCTGCCTGTCGACTTCGGATAGCCCCCCGGGACCAGGCCGAACTTGAGGATACTCTCGGCCGACCTGAGGTCACAGGTGTGGTAAAGGACCGCCGGGAAGCCTCGGCGCCACAGGTCAGTAAGTTCGGGATGCCGCACCGATCTCGGGTACTCCCCGTGCAAGTACTTTGCCGCGGTGAACTCCTCGTCGAAGGAATACAAATTTGTCAGGATCGCCTGCTCAGTGTATTTCCTTGTGAGCTCGTTGTGGTGTCCTTGCACGGCCCTCACCCGCAAAGCCTGATACGGCAATCCTTTCCAGGATGCTTCCCCCAATGGAGGGGGCCCAACCATCACGCGGAATCGGCGGGTGTTGTTGTTCCGGATGCAGATCATCACCTCCCAAGGCATGACGTTGGCGATCCGGTCATTCAGATGCCTTACCAGCGCATCGAATTCCACCGACAGGTCAATTCCGCGAAACGGCGGGTGGGGCTTGCCGTCCTTGAATGCCCCTCCCCGGAGGAAATAGGACATTTTCTTCGAGATTGCTACCAGTCGGTAGTCTCGGTCCATGTTGACCTTCGGGACGTGCCCCATGTCCTCGACCTCGAGCCACTCGCTCTGCTCCTCGGCCGGGACCTTGGTATTGATCTTCCTGGTCTTCGCCCAGTCTTCCCAGAAGATCTTCTCTTGCTTAGGGTCTTTCTGCTTTTTCGACCGGGGTTCCCCCCTCGGCGTTGCCCGGCGGCACCTTGGCCTTCGCAATCCTCGGCATCGCCTTCACCTGGGGCTTGTCGGTCGAGCCTGCAGCCGTGGGGTCCGACTCGTCTCCAATCTCAATGAAACCAGTCGACTGGGGTTCCCCCACAGCGCTCTTGGCAGCAGATCCGCGCCTTGACGGCGGCGGGGTTGGCGGTTGCTTGGATGTGCTGGTGCCCTCCGTCACGGACTCAAAAGCGACCGACTCCGCGGTGATCATGGAACCCATCCCTGCCGCCTCGGAATCATCAGCTTCCGACACCAGCTCCAACGACACCACCGTTTCCTGATCGAACAAGTCTCCTTCCGCAATGATGATCGACTGGCCTTCCGGCGCAGCACGGTGCACTCCTGGGGGCAGGTTCGTTGCATCCCATCCAAAGTCGTGGGTGTCATCGCCCAGCAAGAGCCACTTGTCCTTGTCCTCATCGTCGGGCACAATGGACAGACCGTGTTTCTCCGCCGTGCTGTCAATGTACTGGGACATGGCGATCTCAACGCGGTCCAGCTCGTCGTCGGAGTTCTCTTCTCCTTTGTCGACAGCCTCGAGAACGATCTCGGATTCCTCGACCGTGGCCCCCCGCATCTCGATGGTCATGGCGTTGTAGGACTCGTCCTCAGCCACTTTCATCCAGGCGGCCACGTCGACGTCGATCTCGTCGCCCTCCTGGTCGTGAGACCAGTCGGGCCTCTCCTCCATCGCCGCGTACTCGTGGAGTGCTTTGGCCAGCTTCAAGCATGTGGGCCAGCCAAACAGCACAGGATCAACCGGTTCACCTCTCACATAGGGCTCAACCCTCCCGATAGCTGGGAGAGCGTACCTGATCCGTTGGGCCAACAGCTGCGTGTTGATTGCCGCATGAAGGAATTTCGACACAACCTTCCGGTTGGCATTGCTGTATGTCATGTGCACGTCATCGTATCTGCGCGCTAGCAATGTCATAACCGATGGGTCGATCGAGTCGATCGCCTTGATGCGGGTCCCATCGTCGATGTCCCCGTTTGCAAGGTGTCGAAGGCAGCCGTTCATAGCCTCGTTGTAATCGGACGTGAGGGCATAGTCCTCGGCGTCCGGGTTGCTGATGAAGGTAAAATGCGTCCGAGCCCAACCGCCTCCTTGAAGAAATCGAGCTGCTCGTACACGCGAGTCTTCTGAACCTTCGGCCATTCCGACGCGGCCTTCCGGCCCGCCTCCGTTCGGTTGAACCTTTTCTCATGGATCCATCTGCACCCCACGAACCCATAGTTGCCGAAGACATCGTTTCCTCCCCACAACACGTAAACCGAAATGGGAAGCTGTTTGATGCCTTTCTGAGCGTTATCCTCGGCGATGAATCGCACTTTGGCCTCCATGGTGCTATAAATAGCTTCAAGCCCTTTTCCCCAGTCCATGCCGTGGTAAATGTTGCGGACCCCCTTCAGCTGTTCGGCCTGAAGCAGTTCCGCCACATGGTGCTTGGTCGGGAATCTGTCGTTCGGCTCTTCGACCATGGCGCAGGAAGAGTCTCCAATTACCAAAATGTCGACCACCTCTTCCGAGGGGCATGGCACAGCGCGAAATTCCGCTGGGGCATTGCGCCCTAGGACTTGGATCAAGTCCCAATAAGCCATTTCTGAGTTGCTCCCGGCTAGGGTTCCCCCCAGCATCACTCCCGGTGCCTGTTCCTGCGATGCGATAGTCCGCGTCACCGTGTCCGGTTCCGGGATGGTCGCAATCGCTGCCTGCGTTTGGAATTGCTTCATCAGCTTGTCCCATTCCACCAAATTGTAGATGGTACCCTGAATGTCGAGCTCCTTCTCCAACACGTCGTTGAGCAGGATATCAACGGAGGGCGCGAGGGACGACATCCTTATCGCAGGAGTTGATTGAATCACTCGGGAGGCTACTGAGATCGAAAAGGCTGCGTGGATCGCATCAGTAAGTTTGAATGTATAGTTTTCGGTGTTCTTAAGTGATTGGCCTCTACCTTGCGCATGTGGTGAAGTACATCGGCATTTGAACTTAGACAAGGTTTTTCCCAGCATTTCAACATTGGTAGCAACAGACCAAGGCTTCTTAAGAGGGATACCGTCGGCGTTCACTATACCAACAGCACATCCGTCGAAGTCAGACTTGTCAAGTCCGTGCTTGTCAAGAATGCCCTTCACCTTCGGAAGCTTCCAATATGTGCATCCCTTGGGCCATTCAATGGCGAGTGAAGGGTTGAGATGTCCCATTTCATCCAAGAACGCCTCAAAGGAATTCCACAACGCGTTGAACAACTTCCTGTGGTTAGCAACTTTCTTCCTAGCTGAGGGAATCTTGTTGTTGATAAAGTTCCATGGTGTACCCCCCCGTGCAAGGCAGACTGGCCCAGATCAGTATGTGTTGAAATTGTTTTGCAAACTCAACAGCAATCTTTCGGTTTTCACTCTGATTGAAATCGTTATTGAGGGTGAACCTGAACACCTGGCATCCAGCCGCAGTGGATCTGCCTACGTCACCAAGCTTTGAGTCCTCTCCGCAGCACACTTCAATGATGCATCTGGGAGTTGGGCATGGTGCCGCGGCAGCAGGTTCCCCCGTGCGTCCGTCCATCCTGGGGGACGATCCGCGATTTTTCGATGTGTCTGAATTGAGATCGGTATGACTGATTAGCTTGAGGGCGTTCTTCCACTTGTCACTATTCGTAAAAGGTTTGGTGCAGATGTCGGCAGACTGCCTGACTGTGTCTGCATGAACCAACTGATAGTGCTTTCTCCGGAATTGTTCCGCCAACCAAGCTAAATTCACTCTTTGGGTTTTGTCCGTGTGGCGAAATGCAGGGGATTTGCCAGATTCAAGGATTCTGATGGTCGATTGATTGTCTTCGACGAACACTCCTCTTAGGCACTTGGGCCCAAACAGCGAAATGCTAGCCGAGCCAATCCTCTCATCTCCCACGTAGTCCCAATCAGTGACGGCTTCCCTGATCTCGGTGGACTCAATTTGGTAGTCGACATCAAACATCCCATATACTCGAAACAAAGTTCTTCCCGTCCATCTCTTCACAGGCCTATGGGGTTGGAATTTCCAATCGTCCTGCATGAGATCTACCTCCGCTTCTTCGTCAATCATGATGGTAGTTCTGGATCTACCCAACATTTTGCAATTAACGGGGCAGTCTTTGGTGGATTCGGGATTAAACAATGTATTCCTAACGCGTTTGTGCACTCTAGATAACATGAATCTGTGTGGTTCGTAAATCCAGTAGTCCCCAGAATCGACTTTGGTTACGACCTTGCCTTCCGGCGGGCTCTTCGTGCTTATTCCCCCCGCGTTCTGAAGGTACGCCCACAGACCGGCAGAAGGAAGTCCTACTGCACGAAGACTGACATTGGCTGCCACAACCTCACTTTCAGTGGAGCTCATCGACACTGAAGTTTGTTTCTTACTAAAGGCAGTCAACGGATAGTACGTGTTGGGGCCTACTAGCGCCAACACGCACCCACTTGTGGACTTGCTGTCATGTTCACCGGCGTGGTCTGCATCTGCAAAGATCCACAATCTGCATTGAGTGATTGGATCGCCGATGAAACACGACATTTTCAAATCTTTGGTGGTATCTACATAGCACACGAGTCTATGCAGTGCCTTGTCACAGTCGGCAGACCACTTCGTTACTCTTGATGCAAGGCCTTGGACTGCTCTTAGCAAATCGAAACGGGCCATTCTCGCAGCAAAGAGTATTTTCATTAGCACTTTAGTTGCAATGGGTGCCAAAACGCCCTTGATTTCCTGCTCGTTTTCAACGGGTCGAGCAATTTTGTCATCATGAAATGGCGTTGGAACCTTCTTGATTGTTTTGGCATTACCCCCCGCAAGGTCAACATACCTCTCAACACAGCTTTCTAGGAAAGAACACATGTCATATTCAACCACGGTCACCGGTTCACGCATGGCTGGTTGATCCTTCTCTAGCTGATCAAGGTAGAAGAAACCTTGCGCTCGGGCCTCGGACTTCGCCTGAGATTTGCTTCTTGCTTTCTTAGCGGCCGCTAGGGCAATCATGGCATCACCAACGGAGCTGTCGAAGAAATACGAGGTTCCCTGCCACAAGTGCGGCAGCGACACTTTGGGATTCGTAACATCATCCCATAATTCTCCGGCATCCCCTTCCGGGGTGCAACCCCGGTACTCAGTGTACCGTTTACCCGTCAGGCCGAGCTCCGAGGTGACTTCATCATTTAACCTCATGAGTTTGCACCTCGGTTGAACGTGATGGCAGGCCAGGACACCGTTCTCCGGCATATACTCCCAGTAATCTTGGGTCCGCCGGGCAGGTGTTGCATTCTTCGCTGCGGGGTCGGGCAAAGAATGTTGAAAGACATCAGCGAATGGATGGTAGGTTACGCTAAGGGTTTCCCCTGGGCGCACCATATGCTTGCAACCCAAGTACCTACCTATGGGTTCCGGCTCATCCATGTCAATCTGGGTTGAGATGAGCCTCCATCCCTCCTTCATGTTTTTCTCCGGACCTGACATTTTAAAATCATCAACGTAAACTATTAGCAACAGTTGAAGTTCATGGTGATAGAATAGGGAAGGCCACGTATCCGGGTACAGCAAAACAAAGTTTACTACGCCCAATCTGTAGGTGCAATCGATCTCCCACAACCCCCCGGAGTCTGGATGCCCATATAGTGCAAGCCTAAGCGGCACAACCGGGTCTTTGTACTTTCCGATCCATGACTTCGGCCATCTGGTTTTAGGGAGCCTCACCCAAGTCTTGGTACCTCGCATTAATGATTGCGTGTATGCTTGCTTTCCATCAGCCTGCTCCGTTTTGTAACCAGGCTGGGCACCGTAGGCATCAACAACTTTGCCGGCTTCCATTGTCGCCGGACTCGAACCTAGTTCCGCAAAGAGTGCTGCCTCTGAATTTTCGTCCTTGACGTCATTGCCCTGGAAAACAGTTCGCCCTTTAAACTTCCTAAGTTTATGGCCTTTGGGCAGTTCACTACCCTTTTCAACGCAAATTTCAAACACGCGTCCAACATGAGCTTTTTCACCTGTTTTCTTTGCCTCGGATGACACGTGGTCCCATTCCCGAATACCTTCGAGATCCCATGCTTTCTTCACACTGAGCTTTTCCCACTCAACATCGAGGGACTTTTGAGCCTCGGGATTTACGCGAATCTCGGCGGCATTGACTGGCCTAGCCACTGCAGCATACATGTGTTCATGGAAACCTAGCTTGTGACGGTGCGCCTGCGACAGTCCCTTTACCGTCGGCATGGCGGGTGCCGGGTCCTCTCCCGAAAACATGATCAATTCGGTCAACTGCTTGACTGACAGACCGGCAAGACCTTCCGATCTGCGCTGCTCCTTGGCTTCGGCGGCGGCCGCCTTGCGCTCCTTGCTCGACGCTGGTCGATCAGCTGTGCTTGGCAACGTCTCGATCAGTTTATCCTTTTCATACTTCTGCTTAGCCTCTCTACGCTGCTTCTGAGACATAGATTGCCAAACAAAAGAGGATATAGTGGGTGGTCGGTTAGTCCCTTTGTACTTCCTCACCAGAAAGCCTCCCGCCTCTGAGAATGAGGATCCTTCTTTCGGGATTTCAACTAACCCACCAGTTTTGTGATCAACAGTTTTGATTGTTTCCACCTTGGATGGAGCAGGTTCATCTAGAAGCGTCTCATCTTCCACATCGGCAACAGCCTCCGGATCTTGTCCCGCTTCTAGGAGAGGGGCATCCTGAATGGTGGGACCAGACTGACTTGATGAAATCTTACCCTCTCGAAGGGACTTGTAACGGTCCTGCATCGGGAAAACAAAGTTTCCATCGGGCCTCGTGATTTTGAAAACACGATGCAACTTCACAACATCATCAAAGTCCGTTTCATTCAGCTCTTTCAACGATGCAACGAGGTAGTCACCTCTCCATAGAAAGCCGGGGTGGATAACATACCCAACAAACACTCCCGGATTGGACGTGGGATCAAACTTCAAGTCCTTCTTCGGTTTCTGTCTTGGGCCAATCCAGTAGTCTATGCGACATCCGAACGGCAAGAACTGACCTTTGAACTCATCTTCGAACCTAAGATTCCACGGTGTTCTGGAACCAGAAGGTGGCTCACAAACATTTTGAGATAAACACCAGTGCCTTGCGGCGTGCGGCCAGTATGAATGATTCAACCCGGCCTGTGCAAGTGCGACTCGAGTTCCCTCGAGCACGGTTCTGATGCTTCGTTCAGCCACCGCGTTCGTTTTGTGAATGTACTCTTGGCTGAGGACATGTCTCCAGCCCATCTGTTCAGCTGCAGCAATTAACTCAGGGGCGTTGTCACTATAAAACGTGCCAACCTCGTCTGACGAGGAAGTGAAATGCTGAAACGCTTTCACAGTGGCTTCCGTGTTTCTTTTAGCAAAAGGATATGCGTATTTGAAACCGGTGGCAACGTCACTTATGACAAGGGCAGAGTACTCATCGTCTATGCCTGGCTCCTGTTCGTCTGCAGTGATTATGAAATCGGCTGTGATATGCTCAGCAAATTTTCGAGCATCAACTTGTCTGGATCCCCCCCGCGAGCGAGAGGGAGACTTGGTCATCTTGGCGCATTTGCACACTTCGCAGAATGGATTCTTTGGCTGGTGTGTCATTAGGTGTTTCCGTGATGCTGCTTCCTGCCTTAGGGCACTTTCTGCAAGTGATCTGGGGCTTTTCTTATCGGGGTTGCCAACAACATCTTCCCCTGCCAAATCTTTACTCTCTAATGGCTCAGCAAATTCATCTGGATGGACTTCAACGGGGTCATTCGCCAGAAGCTCGGCGACAACTCTAGCATGCACCTCAGGATCCTCTAGAGGGGCAATGCTAGGCGTATACTCTTCTTCCGCGGCATCCTCAGTTTGCACGGAGGAGGAGTGTGACGATTCATTCGGTGCATTGCTTCTGGCGACCTGACCTTCCGGTCGGCTTGGCGGTGTGCCTTTGGCGGGACACGCCATTGCTGAGTCGCCATCCCACACGTCGTAGTACGGGACATAGTCTCGAACTTTGAGATAAATTCTCGTCCCATCAGGCTTGACAAAGAATGGCTTCTCTTTTGCATGCCATATGAAGTCATAACCCTGATTCATGCACTTCAAACCTACGGAGAGAACAGAGGGTGTTTGTGGCAACAAATATGGATCCGTGTTCCCAAGGTCACCTGCGGCCATGTTGGCCTGCTTTGACGAATCACTTGGTCCATTGGCAGTCATCAACATCACGGGATCATTTGAATTATAAATTGCATATTCGGGGCAATTTGCACGTGTAAAAAGATCAGTCCCGCTCCCAGTGTCAATAATCCATGAACAGTTCGGAGAGAATCTCTTGCTCGCCAAGGCGGGCTTTGCGCCCATGTCTCTCGGGGCGCATTGCCAGCATCCGATCTCGCTGTCACATTCGTAGTTGCATCTAGTCGGATGGCCTTCCAATTCACGCCTCACAATGAAGGCGAGCATGGTTGCTTCGAGTCTAGCATCATCTATGCTAACATCATCATGGAAAAACTGATGGTCGATTGGGTAGACCTTTGGATACACGCGCGGTTTGTCCGCGATCTTAAACTGCTCACCATGTGCTGGTATCCTATTCATTTCAACCTTCGAGCTGAAACGCACGCTCGGGAGGGCAGGCACATGCTTCCAGTCCGACATGAGGTTCCCCTCAGCGATAGGGGCGTTCATCATGGAAGACAATAGGCATCCCAACACGCAAACGGCAGCAGGAGAGGGCTTTCCGGAAGACTTTCCCTTGTGACCCTTCTTCTTTTCTCCCTTGGAATCACGGGAAGTGGATCGAGAGGTCGACTTGGAACGATCCCTGCTCGATTTGCTTCCGATCTTTTCCCTGCTTCTTTTGCCTGTCTGCGGATGGCTCCCTTGACCCTGGAACGGCCGGCTTCGGGTCGATGTGAGCAAATGGGCAGTTCTCACCACGGTCACACCTCCCCTTAGGGTAGAAACGGCACTCTTTCTTTCCCTTTGGGCTATTCGTTCGGCCTTTACCCTTACCCTTCTTTGGCTTAGCGTCTCTTGATGGGGTCCTACCCCTTGCATCGCCCGATGGCTGTTCATGCTTGTACGTGCAATTGTCCCGCCGACACGACCCATACTTGACAAATGCAATGCAAAACCCCTTAGGCACACGTTGGCTCTCAGCGGCGGGTGCGGCTGGCCTACCCCCGTTCTGCCTAGCAACCCGTTCTCGGTTTCGCTCGAGCCTTGCTCGAGACAGGTATTGCCTCACAGATTCAATCAAGTAGGTGTATGAGTGATCGGCGGACTCTTCCGAGGCGCTCAAATAGACATTCAAATGGTGTTGCATTTGCTTGCTCTTCTTCAGCTGGTTGTAGAACAGAGCCTCAAGCATGGAGTCATCTGGTGTCTTGGCATTCATTCCTGCAAGAACACCCTCCCAGCTACGCATGAAGGAAGTGAGGTTATCGTTCACGAGCCTCACGTTGAGGAGATCTTCCATGGCATAGGTGGCTCCGTGCTTGATGTTCGTGCTCAGGTGCTCGTGCACCATGAGAAGCACTTGTCTCCCACGAACTGGATTCCTCTTCTGCGCCTCTACCTCCTTGAAGGTGTCGACTTGTCTCGCCAGGTCACCCTGAATGATGTTGGTGAGGGCGGACAGCAACTTGGCGTCCAAGGTGAGGAAAGTACCGGGTTCTTTGAGCTCCTCGATTGTAACGGCGGGCTCCCACACTCTGCTGATCCACGTGAAAGCGTCATCGGGGCGATCGGATGCCGCGCATACGGCTTCCCGCACCTTGATGCGCCAATTCCTGTAACTCTCAGGAAGTGGGAAGGAGGGAATGATAATCCTCTCCGCCTCCTTGACCTTGGGCTTGTCATGGTCTGCGTCCACTGCGCTCGCCTGCTTACCCAAGATCTTGTTGAGCTTCTTGCGGATCACTCGTGCCTTCTCCGATGATGATGATGAGGATGATGATGTTGAGGAGCTGGATGATGAAGAGCTTGGAGAGTCGGAAGGAGACCCACTCTTTCGCTTCTTGTGGCTCTTCTTCTTCTTCTTCTTGTCCTTCTTGCTCTTCTTCTTTTTATCCTTCTTCTTCTTCTTCTTCTTGTCCTTCTTGCTCTTCTTCCCATCGTCATTCCCATCGTCATCGTCGTCGTCAGGATCATCGTCATCATCGGGATTACCGGCAGGTGGTTCCCCACCGCCTCCGCTTTGGCCATTCCCTGCGCCTGATGGACATCCGCCACCATCGTTAAGGTCCTGTGCCGGAGATGTCGGTTCGTAATCCCCGGCATCCCCGTCAAGATCATCGGCGGCACCTGGCCCGTCACGGCGGAGTTCGGTGGAAGCTGACCTGACACGTACCTTAGAACTAAGATCCAGGCCAGGGGGAGGAAACGTCTGTACAGGAGAGGCCTTTGGCCTCAGACCGAAAATCGGAACATTAGAAGAACTACTCTGCTCACTGCGAGATTTCAGTTCATGACGTAGTGCCTCAATGTCCCTCGACTGCTTCATGATAATCTCCCTCATTTCAGCAGCGTTCCTGTCCGCTTCCTCCTTCTGCTTGTTGTGGGTGACTTCCCAAATCAATTTGAGCCGTTCATACTTCTGTTCAGCTTCTGAGCGTTGAGCAACCCACTGCTGTCTTGCCTCGTTAAACTCTCTTTCTTTCGCCATTGCCTCTTGTTGGCATACATTGATGTGGTTCACCGCGTCCTGATAGAGTCGGCCTTTTTCCTCAACATGGCCGGCTTGGAGCTGATTGATGATGGCGTCGTGGCGTGCCGAAGCATAGGCAGCCACTTCCTCCGTGCTCGGACCTGTGTTGACCACATTCACCGTCTGGCTATGTTGATATATATTCGGGGCGCTCACATGATGTTGATGAAGGTGAGTCTCATTCTTAGTCATGTGCGCGTGCATCTCTTGCCCAGGTTGATGTCCGGCAAGAGGTTCCCCTCTGCTTCCCATTGAATCCTCCGGAAGGACGACCGAAGTGATGGGCACAAGCGCGTCACCTTGGTCGGATTCAGGAAAACTGCTTCGGGAGCGCTGCGACGGATTGCATGGCGGTTTCCCTTCCGGATGCCCACCCTTGATCAATTCGTTGGCCACTGCTTCGTTCATCCTTGCTATGGCAGGGTGGCATCCGTCGCCGCTTGACGCCATTGCGGCGCGGGTGAGAGCTGACTGTACAAGGTACCAGCGATACGGCTGATAACCTGTTGAAAGGTGGGATCTACCTAAAACTCAGCACAGGCGGCAGCTTGTTTTTTTTACTTGAGCCAGTATCACGTCGGTATGCCATTACCTATCAACAGAAACCACTCGCCACATTTCACTTCTTGGGCTGCCTGACTTATGCTATGAGCGCTTGGTTTATGTTCAAGGGAAACCCGCGGCGACACAAAGGAGCACAGGCGACCATGGGTTTCTGTGAAAAGGAGGCCAACCTGACCTCAGCTACCTTGCAAAAACAATTCTTTGGATTGCTATTGGGCAAAACATCATGTTTCCATGCGTTGCAGCAAGGTTGAAGGCCGAACCAAAAGCAACCTAGCTACATATGCATCATATGCATCGTATGACAAACCATATTATGTAAACCATATAGATGGACATGGGTCACGTTCCGGCATATATATATATATACATACTGTGGATGGACACAATCCTGCACCACTTGGAAACCATGGGATACCATTTTTCATTGGTGTTTCCAGGGGAATCATCATGTCAGGGTTTCTTAGGTGGTGCAGGATTTCGTCCATCCACAGTATTACATATAGACATATATTATATTTGTATATTTATTTATTCATTTATTGTCTCCCTTGCTTGACTCTCGGTCCTCCTGGCCACCTTCGGCCCAGCTCCAGGGGAGCTGACAGCCGGGCGCTTGGAAGTTCTGGCGCTGCCACTCCGGGAACACCGCCTCTCGCTCGCTCGGTTCAGGGCTCTCTCCGGTTCTGTGTTTTGTTTCTTTTGTTTTTCATGTTTTTTTGTTTTTCCTTTCTTATTTTTCCCCTTTTTGTTCCCCCTTTTTTTCCGGAAATTGCGCCCAATTTGGGGGGGAAAGGCCTGAAACATCGTGCATTTCAGGGGAAACAGCGTCCATATCCTGGCTTGATTTTGACCCATACCATTTTCTCCCCAACAGAGACGAGTTCCAGCGGGTTCCGGGGCTGTTGGGGATGCCACCTGGGCTTGTTGTTCTTTGGGGTCCAACAGATGGCCGGTGTTCGGGGCGTTGACTCCAAACAGGGTACTACATGTTCGGTCCCTTTTAACACATACGCTGGAATGGCGCCATACAAAATCTCACACCCAAGTGAAGAAAGCATGCAGGAGAGAATGCAGGCAGCTCTCTGTGAATTCATAAGCAACCGCATCCCAAAGAGGCCAAACGAGTGAAAAGGCAGGAAGCTACCCCCAGCATCTTGTGCTGTGTTTGGGTCCTTGTATATTTCAGGGAAATTCCAGGGCTACACGGCCCAACCGGAAAATATCCGAGCTTTTCTTGCTTGCATCTATGGTCTTCCCAAAAGGTATGAGGGGGGTGCCCTTTTTTGGGTTTGGCCTATCAGGGAAACCAAAAGAAAGCAACAAGCATTTGGGGGTTTCTCTGCTTTGACACAAGCCCAAACCAACCATTTTGGGACGGTTTCCCTACGGTTTTTGAGACCAACCCAGATTCAGCCACTCCCCAAACCGCCCGGCGATCTCCCCGGCGATTCCGCGCCCTGAAGCGGTCGCGGTCCACGGCGCTCTGACGCTTAAGGCACTCCTTGAAGAGGAAGCTCGGGAGGTCCTCGCCAGGTCCTGCGCGGCAAACGTGGCCAAACGTGTTTTCTTGGCCCCATTGGCCCCTGGGCAGGGATAAGTCAACGAAAATGAAAAGCAGCCGCGCACATGTGAGGCATGGTAGTATATGTATGGATACGTATATGTATATGTATATATATATATATGTATCTAGAAACATACAGTGTATGGATAAGTGTGTGATACAACATGTCCAGGCACTGCAATATACCCAAGCGTGGTAGTTGCGAATGTGAATGCAAACATGCCCTCCTGCACATGCATATGTGCAAACTGCATAATCACGTGTCTTGTCGCACGTGCTCTTGCATGTTGGCGTATTTGCGGTGAACGATTACTGCCTGTGCACAGGCATAGTTGCATGCGTATGAATCCATGGAAACATATATATATATATAATAATAATATACAAATACATATAATATAATAAATAAATATATATCCGCCAACATTGCTCGGCGTGTCGGACACCTAAGAGAGGATAGAGGATAACCCCCCCCCTAACCCCCCCCCGCCCGACGTCTGATACGTGGGGGGGGGGGGGCCCCAAGGACCGCGCGGCAATTTGATGACGTTCCACTAAACGTAGTCTTCGGGGAGCCGGTGTCGCAAAACAGGGGTCCCAGGCTCGATTCCCCCTGCCGGCTCTTTGCTGGTTTGGGGTTCCTGCCTCCTTTTGCAGGAAATCTGGAAAAACTCTGTGTTTTTGGACGTCCTAATTGTGAAAACGCTGGAAAACCCGTGCTTTTTTGCTGGAAATATTGGGGAGCAGAGGGGAAACGCAAGGAAGTGCAAGTGAAATGAGGGGAGGAAATAGGAAGTCGACATGACAGGAAAGCAGCGGGACATGAAAGGGAAACAAAGGGGAACTGAAAGGGACATGCAAGGGACAGAAATGAAAACAAGGGGAGTGCAGGGGGAAGGAGAGGAAACAAAGCACAAGGAAACCAAGCACGACGGGAGATGTAGGGAAATGACTCGCAACGAAAGAACGGGACATACATGGCAAATGAAGCGGACATACCGAGAAAATGTCAGGGACATGAAGGGGGGGCTGAATGGCATGGAAGGGACAGGACCAGGACATCATGGAAACGTGACAAGGACATGAAGGGGGAAAGCCAGTAGTGAGATGACAGCTCAGGGTCATGCAGGGGCAGTGCCCGGACATCGAGGCAACTCGGGGGGGGACGTGACGCTGCAATGCAGAGAGAGAGAGACAGAGAGAGAGAGAGAGAGAGAGAGAGAGGGAGAGAGCGGGAGAGAGACAGAGAGAGAGACAGAAGAGAGAGAGAGAGAGACAGAGCCACAGACAGAGCCAGAATCAGAGAAACAGAGAAAGAGACAGACAGAGAGAGAGACAGCGAGAGAGAGAAAGACGGAGACTGAGAAAGAGAGACACAGAAAGACAGAGAGAGAGAGAGAGAGAGAAAGAGAAAGAGCGAGAAAGTGAGAGAGTAGAGAGGTTCGAATTAGGGTGCCCTTTTTCTGTAGAGGGGCGTGGACAGGAACGAGACAGGGAGACAGAAAGAGACAGAGAAACAGAGACAGCGAGAGAGAGAGAGAGAGAGAGAGATTGAGGAGAGAGAGGCTTGGGGGGATGGGGAGAATGGGGAGCAGAGGGAGGGAGAGAGGACGACAGAACGCACGAGGGAGACAAGGGAGAGGGAAGAAGGAGAAAAGGGAGAGGACAATGTCGGCGGACTGAGCCGGAGGCTCTAAAGTTTATATAGATCCAGGCTGTGCACCATCACGTGCTCATTGGGCCCTTCTCCAAAGCTTCTCTTCCTGCTGCCACTTGCAAGGTAGGCTCATACACCGCCGTTTGACTTATGAGGTTGGGCCCTATGCTGCACGTCAATCTCTCTGCGTCTCAAGTGGTGTCAAGGATTTTCTCAGTTGCCCCTCAGGGACCTGGAACTCAAAGGTGATCACCTTTTGGGCTGCCATGACTGAAAATGGGAACCCGAAATGGGAAAACCAAAAGGTCAAAAGGTCGATTCGCTTTGAACAACTGAGCTTTAGGTACATTCCGCGCGGAGACTGCCACCCAATGTGGACCCGAACCATGTTAAGGGAAAACAGCCACATGCCCCGTGTGCGCCAAAGCGCCCCGGAATGCCCGAGACGTGCCATCTCGCCCAAGGATCATTGAAACAAACAACGACACGGGCGCGTCGTTCTGAATCCCTCCTTTCGCCGTGGTGTAGAGGTGGATCACGATCTTCGCGTGCAGGGGCGGGTTCGCAAGCCAGTTCCGCAGTAGGGGCGAGCCGAAGATGAACTCGCAGGGGTCCCGGGTGATCCAGTAGAAATGTGCCTGCCGCATTGAAATGCCAAGGCCGAGTTTAGAGGCATCACAATGAGGGCCGTGCGACAGCTTCTGACTTGCAAAGGAGCCGGAAAGGAAAGCGATCCGACCTGTGATCTATGCCCGGAATTTTCGCACATCTATTTATTCGCGCAAACACCTTTCTAGGAACACTCTTTGGGTTGACCATCTTTCGGCACGACACCCAAATAAGATGAAACACGAGTTTCCAGCAAACCACTGAGAAGTTCCATGGCGCAACAAGAGGATCAACCTTGAAACCCCCATGGGTGCTTTGAGCTTGGCACTCACAGCCACAATCTCAAACAGTAAGTGCAATCTGGGACGTGCTCGGCACTTTCTCCGGCCCTGATATAAACCCGTCCTGTCAGTAAGGGAGAGTGTCACCCACAAAAGTGAGGAATCCCCACTGAAAGGGGACTCCCCTATTCATCAAACAGGGGTTTATGAATCCGGGGGTCCCATTATCATTATCTGCTTGCCCCCCGTAGACCCGGGCTCCTCCACCAGTGAGGAGGCCGTTGTAGAGGAGAGCTGCCTCTAGCGAACCAAAACGGATCCGAAACCCCTCAACCAAGACAAGCCTCCTATGTACGTGTCCTTCCGGACAAACAAATGGCACTGGTAAGGGCTAGCCCCAACTTGGGTGAGCCAAACCGAAACAAACGCAATCTACTGCGAGGCAAACCAACAAAAGGATGCGCTGCACGCGATGTTGAACAAAGTACGCTACATGTGCTGCCTTTGAGTTGGTCAAAGGGGGCTGGGCGCTTCATAGGGTTGCGAAGAATGTAACCCTGCAGTACTTTGCACTGAGTTGTTGGAAAGGGCAACCAGCGTGAGAGCTTCACCTCCTAACATGGGACCCGCCAGAAGGTCGCTTTGAAAGGAAATGGGCTTCCAGAAGACTCCAGCCAGGTTTCATGATTGTTTTCCCTTCAAACATGACTCCATCCAAAGGAAGCTAATTTGCCAAAGGACCCCAAAATGCTTGAAACCGCCACAAAGGGACATGTAATAGGTATATGTCAACATAGGGGCACCCCGAAGATGGTGGTTTCCCGTTAATCCTTTCAAAACTAGGCCAAATGGGGGTGCCCTCAAGAAAGACACATCCATATGGAGACTTTGATGTGAGATCGTACGGGTTGCCACCAAGTTGCACCAAAAAGGTGGACAGCAGCGAGAGGAAGGGCGTGACCCCCACCCCAGCGCCAATCGCAACCAGCACCTGCCATAGACCCAAGGCCCCAGGGAGACCTGGAAACGCATTGGGGGGTTTCTGGTGGAAACATGTGAGGGATACATGGACCTTTTCCACGTTGCCATGGCACCTGACAGTGCAGCCCCTTTTTGAGGAACCTGACTTTCCAGGTACCCTGCCACAGGTGCATCATGTTTGAGGGATGGTTTGGTATTCCCGTGGTATGGTTTGATTCACCGCAACCACCCGAAAACAAAGTGAGAACCACTGCCCATTGACATGGTGAGCATCCTGGGGCATGGATGCTTAGAGTTCGGCGGCCCCCTTGGTTGAAACCCGGCCCCGCGTTCCAACTTGATGTACCCTCCCATCCAACATGGAACCCGTTTCGGGGTTCTTTGGAGGATTCTCCGCTCAAGGGAGCCTCTGGTTCCACCTTAGTTGGTGGGTATGTCGGGGCCGCTTTCAGAAATCCACGCTGAACCTGTTCTTCAGCTCCACGCTGGGAGAACTGAAGGGGTGCGGCGTTCTTGTCTGTATCTCTGGGCTTGGTTTTTAGGCATGCGGCGGAATATTGCATAGACACACTTGCAGTTAGCAACAGGTTCAAGTGAATTCGGATGGTTGATGGTGTTATGTGTATAGTCCATGGATCTCTTTCTCTCTCTCTCTCTCTCTTTCTCTTTTATTCTCTCTCTCTCTCTTTCTCTCCCCTCTTCTCTGTGTTCCTTGCTCAGTGTGTTGGAAGCATCGGAGGTGTAATAATACATATCTGTGAGTGGCCCTTCTGTGTACATGTATATATATATAGAGCTATATGCATGTGTGTATACAGCATGTGCAGCATATTTGCACCCGGGTACGCGTCTACAGCTCGCGCGACGCAAACACATTTTTCCCAACCTTTCAACCTTTGGCATCGCAGCAAGCAACATGCTTTCTGTGTGGCGCCTATCTTGCTACCTTTTGGTATGACAGCAAGCGACCCGGTTTTTCGCAGCCTCACATAACTTTTATCAGGAGCCAACGTCCGTTTTGTTTCAAACACGTTCTTGTGGTTTGATTTCAACTGCAGCCCATCCAAACAAGTCGGAAAACAAGTGTGCCCCTTTTGGGGCCTGCCTGGAGTGCATACTGCAACTGCTTCTTGTCCCCCCACTGAAATAAACAAGCCCGGAATATAAATCGCGTTTCCCCAACCAAGGCAGGGGCCGGGTGAGCTGGGTTTTAACCGCATCGTTCTCCAGAATCAGTTGCTTGGAACCGGACCTGGTGGCGGCTTTTGGGGTCCCAACATAAACAACCAAATGTGCGAACTGGAGCACGAAATGTCCAAAGTAGGCCTTTGTGCTCTTCACCACGCCCTGCCCCACTGACCGAAGCGTTTCCAGTCGCCTCTTTGTCCATGGCGGACTGGGTGGGGGACACGAATGGCCCATCCAACGCCACCCGTGGCAGCTCGCCCTTCAAGCAGCGACGTGCCACCTCGTTGCTCCAGTCCCCCACACCTCGCGCCAGGCGCGGACAGTTTTTCAGGGGCGAAAGCCTGGGTTGACGCTGGAAGGGGAGCAACAATTTAATTCTTAAGCAGTTGAGCCACAGTTAAGCGGAGAATTTCCCACTAAACCACCACAAGCCAAAAAGCAAAATTTGTTTCCCCGCAGCGGCCATGAAGCCGAAAGCGGTTTCGGGTGGGCCAAGAAGTCGGCGGTGTCCTGTGACCTTTCCTCGGCTTTAGTTTGGTTCGCTGGTGGTTTTTTGCGGGCCAAGTTGGAGACATGGGAAGCAGCCAGGATGCGGCGACTCAACAAATACCCTAGAAAGTAGAAAGTGGGCCCAGAAGAAGCTGTCACATTCAAATCACCAGAGACAAACAAACAGATACAGCCGCTGAGGCTTTTTTTTTTTTTTTTTTTTTTTTTTTTTTTTTTTTTTTTTTTTTTTTTTTTTTTTTCGAGGCTGTGCGGGTTCCCTCGCTGATTGAAGTTGCCGTGTATGTTGTTGTTCTTGTTTCAATCCGTTCGGGGCACGCTCTGTGGCGGGGCACCGAAACCCGGACGTCGAATCGCGACTTTCTTCATTCTTCGCCTGCCACCAGAAAGTTCACGGTGTCCTCGTCCTTCAGGGACTTACACATGGATTAACATGGGAAAACCAAAAGGTCAAAAGGTTGCTTGCCCAAACAACCTGAAAATCAAAGGTGATCAGCTTTTGGGACTTTGACTTAAAAATGGGAAACCATGGGAAAACAAGGTGAAAAGGTCGGCTTTGGACAAGTGAGGTCCAGGCCAGGACGAGTCTCACCATTGCCCCCTGCCTGGAACGTGTTTAAACGTGCAGCTGGAGCAGGCAGAATTGCAGTTTGCTTGGGTTTGGATCCTTGTCCGGTCTTCTGGCAATCTGATATAACGGCCCAAATGTGACACGTTCTTGCTTTTTGGTCAGGTGCGTACACCATTGTCACAAACCTTTGCCCGATTTGAGTGCCATTGTCAACGTGGAAACAATCATTGTGAGAGACAGTTCGTTTTGAAGGCGGACCTCCTTTTGGGGTTTCTCCCGTCAATTTGCAGGGGAGCAACAGGTGACGGGCGCGAATCTTTATGGGACATCATTGAGGTGGGTATGTGTGTCCACCCACCGATTTTGAGGCAGGTCCCCTAAAATAAAACATCCCCAACCATTTCGGTCTGTCACCACATACCCTAAAACCCCCTCACGGGTCCATGCCCGAGGTGATGGTGAAAGGATGCCATTGCAGCGGCGCATAGTCCGGCATGCAGATGAAGGCGTACATGCCGGCATGGAAGCTCCAGAGGTATGGCGGGGGAGTCACCTGAAGAAGCCCATCTTGGGTTGAAATTAAGATGCCAGTAGCTGGACCTGTCCATTTTTCGGATCCCCGGCGAAAAGCGAACAACTCTTAGTGGGCTGCATGGAAACTACCCCCAAACTCTAAAAACCAAGAAACCCAAAGAACAGGCTGCGGGGCACCGCGGTTTCCTTTGGTTTGATATAGACAAAGCGGTGGGCCGGCTCGGCTCGCGGGCCGGACTTCAAAGAAAAGGCCTGGGTTCATTCCCTCAAGTTTTGGCCGAGCCCAGCCATTTTGAAGAGCCCAGGGCCCTGAATGGGCCCTGTGGGCTTTCAAGAGGCCGGCCCAGCGTTTTTTCGTGGCCGCCTCGAAAAAAACTCAGAGGGGCGAACCCAAGTGGCCTCAGGGTTCCTGTGCACACGAGCTTGCACCCCTCACACCTACCTGGAACATTGAACAAACCACTCGCCCGCGGCAAGATCTACTGAACTCTGACGAGAGCCAACCTTGATTATGAAACAGCAGCTGGTCCAAAGTTGCTGTCTCTTCGTGCTTGGTGTCTGTCCAAATTGCGAGCCACCGGACTTGCCCAAAGGTCCGGCTCAAAATAGAAATCACACATGCAATGCCTCACCAGTCTCCTGTTACGATGTCTGCTGACTAAACATTATGTCTCGGTGTTTCTTTCAGACCTCCCCCACGCAACAAAGAAGCAACACAAAATAACAGATGCCGTGCCATGAGTGCAGAGGTATTCCAACGGCTGCGGCCCCGCCTCAAGTTGAGTAAGCGATCCGTTGATGCCGCCATCTTTGCCCAAGCGGACGGTCGCGCGCAAAATCTTCACCTGAGATTGCGAAAGGGTTCAGCTAAATGAGACGGATCAAAACAGGGTAAAATCAGATGGCACAATTGCCTGTGGGTAAGTAAGCAGAATCGGGGAATTGAGCCATCTACTTTCCCCAACTCCATCTTGGTGCACTCACTTCGCGGCCTAAAGGCTCCAAACTCCAATGATTCCTTCCACGCAGCCCGATCCCACGCCACAGCTGTCCATCTATTCGGTTTCCCTCATGGACATTGGAGCCATCAGATGTGTGTCCCCCTGCTTCTCCTGGTTTAAACAAAAAAAACACACAAACACACACACACACACCAAACAAAAACACACACCAAACAAAAAAAAAAGCGCGGGTTCCTCTCGCGTTTTCGCCGCCAATTCTGACCTTTTGACCCCAACCTTTGAGCCGCGCCCAAGGCGCTTGGGCCTGAAAGCTCTAGCCGATGGATGGATGGATGGATCGGTTTGGATGAGAAGAGGCTCGCCTAAAGTCGGAGGGGGACACCCCCTAGCTATCTAATGTTAGGGGAGCAATTGGCGGTTTTTTGTTTTTTAGCTCCCTGTTAGGGAGTTTCATCCTCCATCGCTGGATCTCCGGGACTTGCAGCCAGCTACACACTTGGAGCTAGGAAGCGGTTTGGATTTGCGCTTTTTGCGGGCTTCACCTGTTCTTCTTGCTCCTGGTGCTCTTTTTTGAAATCTTTGAGGACCCTACAGGGGATCCAGAAAAGCCCACATCAAAACCGGTTTCTAGATTGAAGGGAGGGGAAATTCCAGGAGTCACATCGCGCCAAGGCACTGCCTTACCCACGAAGAGGTAGTACCGCAGGAGTCGAAAGATGCGGCCAGAGAAATACGCCAAGAGGGGGAGAGTGGAAACGATGACCACCAGGGGAATACCCACGCCGACCTGGGCCCAGTGGCCCAGGCTCCGATCCGAAGGCGAGAGGCTTGTGACGGAACCACCCACATGTATCTCTGAACACCGCTGGAAGGCCTTCTCAACGACCAAGTCTTCACTCAAAAAGGGGGAGGTGCGCTGGTGTCACAAGAGTGGGAATCAAGCCCTCATTCCCACAACCCTGACACTAAGGAACACCCAGAGAGAAAAAGGGGAAAGCGGTACTATTTGTTTGCTTGATATTCGAAGGGATATAATTCCGTGCTGACATTCGCCCGACAGGCCCAACGGACGGGGAGTTCTTGGGCTTCAAACAAACGAGTGCAGACGATGGACCCACTCACAGTGAGACGAAGCATCGGGTCTGCCACAAATGCAGCATGACTTCACTGCTCTTGGCGAGTTTGGTGTTTTTTTAGTTGTTGGTTGTGGGTTCGGGGGCTCTCAAAATCAAGGTTTTTGCAAGCCCATACCAAGGGTTGTGAAGATGAGAATACGTCAACCGGCAACAAGATTCAACAAGCAGAGGAAACACGAGGATCATCATATATGCTGCTATGCTGAAGGAAATTGTCTACCTGTAGCTGAGTTTCAAGGCAAACCAACAGCAAGAGACAAACCGAGGGGCAACACGTGTGTGATTATATCCACATTTGTTGTTGATCGAGTTTCAAGACGCAACAGCAAGAAACCTAGATGGACACGTCATCTCCCATTTTTGTTGCAAGAGCTTCAAAGAAAACCACCGCCAACAAGGGCAACAAACTTACCGAAAGGTGTCGCCGGATTGAGCCACCCCCCTATTCGTGGATGGAACAGCCAAGGAGAAGCCACAACAATAAGAGAAGCACGGAAAACATTCAGACCTTCATCTCTCCTTTTCCATTGAATGCGCTTCAAGTTGGGTTTCCATTAAAAAAAATCCGGGGGGGTTTTTGTACCACGCTGCCTACGTTGCATACCTTGAACAGATTTCCCCGAGCCCGAAAGCTTGGGCCCCGAAAGGCCCCTTGAACCAACTTGGGCAATGTACGCACCCACCACCCGAAGAGGAAAAAAAGGCGCCGTGAAACCGGCTCGCTCGCGTTTTTTTCTTCTTCTTCTTTTTCCGTTAAAAGTTTCGACACCACGAAACCACAACAGTAAGAGAAGCATGGAAAACACTCAGACCTTCAATCGGCTGCGAAATCTGCGAAGCCCTGCTAAAAGTGAATAACTTTTGGTGGTTTAGTGGAAAACCCATTCGTCGGCAAAGAGTTAAAGTCCTCACATCCAAGCAAAATGCACCAAGGAGAAGAGAAGCGTGAAAAACATTCAGACATTCATCTCTCAAACTTCATCCTTTTTCCGTTGAATGCGCTTCAAATTGGAAGCCGTCAAACGAAAAGCTTAGGTAACACAAGTGCCACCGCGCCACCCATCCTTGCGAGCCGTGGAAGAATAGGATGATGGGCCAACTCAGGATGGCCACATTGTGCAAGTTCCTGAGCCAAAATGAGATCGTGCTTCAGACACAGAAAACGAAGCCAGCCACCCCACCACCAAACAACCCAAGAAAAGAGAAGACACCAACCTAAACATGCCCACTCCCGAAGCCCTCTAAAACCACCCAAGCTCTAAAGCATCCTCAAATCACCAACCCCCGCGAAACTTCAAAATCGGAATTCAAACCACTGACCATTTCATTCTGGTACCCTCTCTCCTGATTTCATGTATCTGGGTGAGTTGTCATACTTCGCCAGCCTAAAATCAGGTGGTTTGGGGGCTATTCTCCACATAAACCACCATTTCAGGTGAATTCGGTCGTGTGAGGTCCTTCTAATTCACCCAGATGCATGGAGGCTTAGGCAAAGTCTCAGGTCAGGAGCTCAGGTCGCCACGAACCGTTTGGGTCAGCCGGGGGCCTAAGGGCCCTAAGTCGAGATCCAGGCGGATTCCAAGGGGCGCGTCTCCGGTTTAAACGTGGCCCCACCAAAGGTCAGCTGAGTTTCAACGGGTGGTTTGGAGCGGGCTTCGAATCCCCCAACCAATGCAAGCCACCTGGGCGATATGTCAGCAGTGCATCTCATGGGAATCCAGCAATCTGGGTATGTCACTTTTTGGAGTTGGCGTTCAATTTTTTGGGGTGCTACGGGAGAAAAACCAAGGGAACACCGAAATCCGTTCTAGGGCGCCCAAGTCCTACCATAATATGGGTCTATCTTTTCTCGAGGATACCCCTTGTGGTTTTAAAGGGCTTCAACCCAAAGCAAAACCATTTATTGTGTCGGTGTTTTTGAGGGAGAATCCCAATCCTCAAAAACTCTCGAGCCACCCAAAAAAAAAGCAGACGCGCCGGGGCCATCTGAAACTTACCGGTGCTCAGCAGGGAATGACCCTTACAAAAACCATCCCCTATGGGTTCCTTTAAGGGACTTCCATTCCGGTTCATTCCCTGATTCCCTACCTATCGCACCATCAAGATGGGCGTGGTTGCTTTGGCTTTGTATAGGGACCCCAATCAGCCCACGGAGAGCGCCCATCAGGAGCCATCTGGGGCCATGATAGAGTGTGTAACCTTGAAGTTTGTTTCACACCAGTAAGTCCTTCTATAGCTTTTTTTTACCATGTCATCTTCCAGGGTTGGGGTCTTTGGGGGATAAATCGTCCCCCTCCAGGTACCCATCTGGGGCCATCTGAAAATCTGACGGTCGAGGCTCCAAAAGGTGTCGAAATGTTTGGTCCTTGCGCTCTGGCGGCTTGTCCAGGCAATCAGCGCCAGCATGCCTCAACCCAAATGCGAACCGTGTACGTGTGTCTGTGTCTGTGTCTGTGTGTGTGTGTGCGTGTGCGTGTGCGTGTGCGTCTGCGTCTGCGTCTGTGTCTGTG